CATCTACAAAATTCTCAAATCTGATTGGCTATTTCGGCCTTAACTGCTGGTTTTCAGTGTCTCGCCATTCAAAATAGATCAAAGTAAAAATCACAACCGTTGAATAGATAAAGTCCAGAATCTGGGAAATGAAAGGAGGTAAATATACAAAGACCCTCGCCAAGATTCAGGTCAGAGGAATATTTCGTATACGAGATATCCGAGGAAATGTTTTCACAAAATTTTAAAATAGAGATTTCTATGGAGACGCCATGCTGGTGCCCATCAAGAGCGATGTGCCCATCCGAATGAGCACCAACATGGTGGACGGAAACCAATAGAAACATCTGTTTAATACCGAGTTTAGACAGTTTTAAAATTAGCCTGCCTGGCAGGCGTTAAAAGGGGAAGGGGGACGCGCAGGCTATTTTAAAATAGGACAGTACGCGTCATGCCTAAGTAATTGGACAGTACGCGCAACCACACGCGCACTTAAATGGCTTTTTTTCACTGCTGGCCAAAAAAAAGGTCTTGGAATTTCTTGTGTTTTGATTAAAAAAAGAGCCTGATATATCACAACTTTTGTTAAAGTTATGATTACCGTAATTGGTAACAGAACTTTGTGTCGGTCTGTAATCATACTCGTGATTAAACAACTTGGACTCCCGCTACGCGGTCGTCCGATTTTGTCCATTACTCGTATGATTAGTATAGCTAATAGCATGATTAGTAGTGATATTTGGCATAAATACCACGAGTGATATTTCGAAATTGTTACACGTCCTGTATACGTAGTTTCACGAGCCGTTAGGCGAGTGAAATTTGAGACAATTTTTAAATATCACGAGTGGTATTTATGCCAAATATCACGTACAACTCATGCTATTCAAGTTTGTTTATACTACTGCCCGCAAAAGGTTTGCAATTTTCACATGTAGGTATTCCAAATTTAGCTGCAATACCACTTCTCTCAGCCAAACAAATTGCAGAAATTTCTCATGAAGTAGTATAACAGACCGAATTGGACTCCACTCAGTCCTGTTACCATTACTAACTGGGGAGATTTCCAATAATTATAATTCCAAAGGTAAGCATTTTATCTCGTCCGTATACCAGGCCTTTTCATGCGCGGTTTCCGGCTAGTCATATTCCCTTTTCAAAGTTGTTTTAGTAATTTACTAATAAAATACTTTACCAGTTGCTTTGCTCAATCGTTTGCAAGGCCCACGGAACGAGCAATTTTTAAAGTGTGGGGGCCGGTGACCACTTCCTTTGAAAGGGGAGGAGGGGGGAGGGTGGACTCTTTATATACCGAAATTTTTTTTTCCAGTTTTATAGTTACGAACAGCAAATTTTAAAATATTTGCTACTTCGGCAAGGCAAATTTGTCTGTTCTCTTTTTGTGGCTGTTTAAGATTGCTGAACCTTTCTTGAGTCATTGTTGAGCAGAGCCACGTGTTTAACTTACGTGCCGCTGAAAAGGACCTTTCTCCTACTGCGTCTGATTTGCACATGCAGGATTTACCCGTAGAAGTTTGCAGCGTAGACCATGATCTTGTGAGGTTCCTGTCGTAACATGTAATATCACAACCACTGATCACAACTTTAAACTTCCTGTTGGGCTTTTAATGGGTCGGAGACTACATCATTAGCCGACAAAATTCGTTTTAAAAAACTGTAATTCCGTGGAGTAGTAGCTGGTAGTCTTCAGATTAAACCGAGGACCTTCATCAAAAAAGACTCCATTCCGCATCGTTGCATATGCTCCATAGCCTGGCTGGTTTAAAAACGCGGAATTCTACTGTAAGTGTTGTAAAACTATCAAATCTAAAATTAACTTCCTCAGCTCTTTGTTTTGACCATGATTGCGCTTCCATTGGCTATTTCGGCAGTTTTTTAAACGAAAAAATGAGCTGAGTAACTATATATATGTAGTAAAGTGACGGTAAAGCACGTAACAGCCCATAAAAAGAAGTCAAATTTACCAACTTTCCTCCCCCATTTAACACTCGGGCAGAACCTATCTTGTTGTTTTCACATGGTTTTCTTTTCCCTGGCAATTTCTGCAAGCAGCACTGGTGGTCGCCATAGTTATGCACATTATGCAGAATTTTGTACATTAGACCCAAGGTTAAACACTGGGGCTTTCAACTCATCCATGGCAAAGTTGATTAAAAAAACAGCTAATTTTCACCAGCCAGACACTCCTTAATTTGTCACGCTTTAAATAAACGATTTTCAGCGGGTGATTTTACAGAGACGTGACTTGTATTCCGATGCGCAAAGCACTCTTTAGAAAGAAGATATGTTGTACGGTACAAATCACTTTAATTTACAATGACTGAATTAGCACTTTCTTGCTGTTCGTCGTACTCTTTTTTTACCACTCGATATGAAACATCTGTTTCTCGTTAATTCGTGATAGCCATATCGTGGGAGTTATTAAAAGATGCTTTCCTGTTCTGTGGTAGACTACGAGTAGTCCCCCATCTGTCCCCACGGATAGTAGAGTGAGCGAAACGCGAGCGCGCGTGAAAATCACCCCACGCGAGAAAACGCAACCGCGTCTCGCCTTTCTCGCGTGGGGTGATTTTTACGCGCACTCGCGTTTCGCTCGCTCTACTATCCCTGAGGAAAAATGGGGTACTAATCGTAGTCTAGTTCTATGGTGACCGAGAACAATTCTTTGGCCAGCTAGTTGAAGTCCCACACGTTATTTCAGAGCCTGTTCCAGGCGCTCATACAGAGGAGAGAGTAGCCTGCGAAAACATCCGTTTCTCCTCGCTCTTCGCCGCTGGGTACGTTACTCCTCGCGAAACGCCTGTTTTCGCAGGCTAAGGAGAGAGACGCGAAATAGAGAGCGGAGGGAAAGCGCCGAAGTAATGAAGAGGGGGAGAGGAGCTGCTTCTCTCGTAGCTTTTTCCTACGCACTTTTCTTATCGTTGTCCCCACTATCTGAACGCCTGGAACAGACTATAATGTGATGTTCTGTGGCGCTTGAACCAGTGGTCAAGGTGAGCTAGGGTTTTAGTCTCCACGTGGGCGTGGAGCATTGCGTGACTCCGGCCCGAGCGGCTGTCAAGAAAACTACTAGGATCTATTTATAGCGTTGGTCCTTTCTACAGTACTGAACTTTTTTTGGATGTGTTTGAAGAATCCTCATATTCAAATTTACATTCAGAGAAATACAGTCCTTGAGAACTAAAGTTTCCTTATTTTCTCAATGTAAATTACCCCAATACACGGATGATTTAACTTTTCTTAGACATAACTTTTTATAAATGAAGCTTCCAGACAAAAAGGGACTTTTTACGGAGCAAGTATCCAATAGTACACAGCTAAATGTAAATTAACTTAATCAGCACCAAACCATTTCATTTTTGCCATTTAACACTGCAAACAATTCTGAATCGACCATCCAATTGAAAGATTTAGGAAGGTAAGCAGAGTAGCTGATCATTTTATTTTTTAATTTAATTTTATTAGCTTTGCCCTGATGAATACAAAAAAACTGAAGATGTGCAAATACTAGTAATAAGAACGTGACAATACACTAATAATAACTTAAATAATTTGGGCAGGGACACCGGAACAGCTAAAGCCAATTGCTACGAACCCAAAATAAAAAAACATAAAAGTAGCAATTGAAATCACATGCAGCAAATAATTTCTTGGTCTAAGAACCTGGCCGTGTTACACTTCAAGCAAATCGTTTTGAAGCTCCTTGGAGAGTCCGGGTCATAGTTTATTGCTAGAGCCCGCGAGTAATAACCGTAAAGAACAGATTTAAAGTTCTCAATAGTAACATTATCTAGGTCAAGTCTGGTAATAAGCAGGTTCCAGATTCTAGTGGTTCTAATGAAAAAAGATTTCTGAAAGGTAGAAGTCCTGCATTTTTTAGGCACAAAAGATTGAGAGCTCGTTACGAATATTCGGGTCCTTCGAACGCATTCGCGCACGACGGGAACTATGCAACAGACGGATGTAAGTGAATCTTTTTATGCGTAGCCTTGTAAAAGTATACTAGATCTAGTAATTCGTGCCAGTAGCACACAGGAAGTAGGTTTACAGATATTAGTAATGCTTTACATATTACTCATATTTTAAATGGTGCTGTTCTAACACGTAACGTTATTATCATCATCATAATCATCTCCATCGAGCAGATACAGTATTTATTCGACTAACGGCGCGGATCTTGGCTATAAGCCGAGACACTAAACTTTAACTCGTAGAATCAGCATATCATTTTCGCTACTATAGCTTCTTTTACTGAACAGCATGTTTTCTTACAAGTCAACGTAGTTTTATAGCTTTTGACACCCAATTACATAAACGGAAACCTCTTTCGCACATCTTCGTTTAATATACAGTCGAACCTCCCATAAGGGATCAAGCGACCACCCATAATTGAAAAGACTTAGTGAAAGTCGCTTACGAGAGGTGATCGCTTACAAGAATCGAACCACAGGGGGCCTCTTCCATGAAAAGGTTCGGGCACATCTCCTTTATGGAAGTTATTTTATTGCATACAATTTCTAAGTTACGCCATGTGTAGTTCCATGTTGTTACATAAGTTCTTAAGTAGCACTTTGCACACAGCCAACCGGTATAGAGATCAGAGAAGGCGTCAAGTGGTCGCTTTCAAGAGGTTAAGGTGGCTGAACACAGTTTTGGTAGTTTGCGAGTATATATGTCATTTGCCAAATCATGGCAAGAGACGGGTTGCAGCTCACAAGCTGAAACTTGAAAGAAACATGAAAGATTTTGATTGACAGGTAGAATTTCGTAGTTTTCGTAGTTTCCATGGCAACATGAACGATTGAATAAAACCGAAGTTAAAATGGCCCCAAGAGAAACTGAAAACAATGCTTATGCAAAATTTTGGGTGAAAAAAAAAGAGCATTATAGTATCATGGCATTTTCTGGTCCGATCGTTATCTGGGTAATGCTGCAAACTTGGAAATCCACCCTTTCATGTAATTTACAACTATCAGTAAATCTTTTTTCAGTTCTGAGTCATGGGCAGCTTGTTTTCGAGTGGAACAAACTCAACCGACCAACAGCAACCCAGGTGAGAATTAATACTACTTAAAACAATTTATTCATGAGTAATGAAATATGAAATATGAAATATAGTACTGGGTCAATCAATAGTGGCAGAGCGTAATTCAGTACTTAATAGTAACAAAATATCATAGTGATCAATCATTATATTAGACCAAGAGAAAATGAGTTCTCTCTTGATTAGACACGACGCCGTAAGTTCCTCTGGACCAAAAAACGAATTTGTGAAATGACGTTTGGTGGCTTCAAGATGATCTGATCAGTCTGATGAAAACTGAGCCTTTTTTTCAAGGTCAATCATCGTCACATTAGAAGACGACCAAACCCTAGCCTGCGTAGCAAGCGTTTCTGTACAGTTTAGGAGAAAAGAACGAGGAACGAGAGTCAAAGACCGCGAGAAAAGTGGCGCAAGTAAAAGAGCGGGGAGGGGGTGGGGAAGAAAGGAAGGAAACGCTTGCAGACAAACCCCGGGATTTTGAAAACCACCCACTTGGTCTGTCACGCCTGAGTTCATGAACCGACATTTGATGCTGTCATCAACTGTCATAATTGACCAATAAAATGTTTGGCCTTCCGTCGAGCGGAAATAAACTTTAGAGGACGCGTTTGTGTAACTAAAATTTTTTTGTGTGTGTATTTTGGAGCGCTTGGTCGGCGTTAATGGTGAAATATCAATGAATCCGAACGATCAATGCAGGCTTTGTACATTTGTCTTCTTAATCCGTCTTAAAGGAAGGACCGCGAGGGTGAATGAAGTTTTAAAATTTTAGCTCTAAACCTCCAGAAAGTTGGATTTGAAGTGGTAAAATGTGACAAGCATTCAAGTCTAGATCAGCTAGACAGAACGGCTTACCGTTCTCGCCACGGCACAGACAACTAGAGTGCTCTTGTAAAAGCATCCTAGAACAAAGCTAACCCGGCAACTGAAAGTTCGCGTGGAGAACCAAGCAGAAATTTTGACTGAGTCACAATGCAGGTCTTCCTAGTTGATGTAGCTTCAGTTTAAGGTGCAATCTATTCTTCAAAATTTGTATCTGTAAATCACTAACCGAGAGAATTTAACATCCCGCCAAAAAAAAAAAAAAAAACTAACGAGCTGGGCCCAGCATAACAAAACATTGCAGGAAACCAGCGCATTCCCTGACAAAAGAAAATCGCTTTTAGTTATTCAGATCCAGGAGACCAATAAAACGACCTGAAACCCTTATAAAGTCGCAAGAAGAGCTTTGTGTTTCAAAAGAAGTTAAATAAAATGCTCTTGCATTGGAGGGAAAATCTTGCCGACCAGAATAAACAATAACCACAGAAAATTAATATGCGTGTCACGTACCAAACATGACCTCTCAGTATGAAACAAACCTTTGATCGACACATGTCAACATTGTTCGACTAGCCGAGCCAATCAGGCGCTGCGTTCGCTGGCGAACGCAGGTTTTCAAAATCGAGGGGTTTGTCTGCAAGCGTTTCCTTCCTTCCCCTCCCCCTCCCCCCTCTTTCACTTTTTGGCTCTCGTTTCATTTCTCGCGCGGTCAAAACCGAAAGTCCCCTTCCTCGGTATTTCTTTGCCCCGAAACCAAACAGAAACGCTTGCTACGCAGGCTAACCAAACCCCTGAAGTAATTTTTCTTGGCCGAATTCACAATAGAGACGGTTTATCCGTATGAGACGGGCCCATGATCCGTTGGATAATTCGCGTCAGGCAGATAATACGTCTTAATTCAGGGCCGTAGCCAGAAAAAAAATGAGGACACATAAAAAAGCTGGTACGGACCAGATATTTTTGCCGTGTAAACCTTCCGTACCATCTTTTCATGAAATAGTTTTGGGGCCATAGGCGGCTATGGCCCCAAAACCCCCAAGAAAACGAGTCCGGACCCCTTTTGCTGTTCGAAAGCGCTGTGTAAACGCATCTTCCTTTCCTACCATCTTCTTCATGTGAGCCTGCCGTGCTTTACGGTGGTTTCGCGCTTGTCTACTTTTGCACTATTTCACTATTCAGCCTAATCTGATTGTTACGCGTGTAAACGGTTAAAATATATTGGTCCGGACCACTTTTTAATGGTTAGAGTAGGATGTGTCAATGATCAAATTATATTTAAATGGCTCTTATTTAGAGTCTCTATTTACCGACGTTCCAACACAGCCTCATTCCCAGGACCAAGAGAGGGTCGCCGTGATCCCGAACTCTAAAACTAGGGAAACAAACAAACAAAAACAAAACTGAACCGCAGCTGAAATCTTAGGACCTTCCGTATCTATGTTTTCGCAGTAAAACATTGATCTGATCAAATAAGGGCAGTTCCCACTTTTGTTACTGCGCATAAGGGAAAGATCTGAAAGAAGCCTGCCGGGGATGCGCAGAGGAGCGCTCGGGTTAAGATTGCTCTCCTAGAAGGGTAGAAAAGGTTGGACGTAAAGTCAAGGTCCAGACGACAAATTCAAGTAAAGCATATTTCTAGCGTTATTTCTCAAGCTGTACTTTTCTCGAAGTGACCGAACAAAACGGTAACACTGACGTTTTTTCGCGAGCTTGCAGTGTGTGTGAGTCCTAGGAGGGAAAATAAAATTATAAGTCATGATACCGATTTCTTACTTAACGGCGCGGTTCAGAAACCCGAAATCAACCCCTTGGTAGGCGCAACTGGGAAGAAGCCAGTTTGAAATCGAGACATGCAGAGCCACGCATTGTCTGAAACTCGATATCTAATTGGCTATCCCCTGAGTGACAGGTACAAAACACAGGTCACAGGTAACTGAGATAAGCAGTTCCCTCAGTTAAGCTAAAATTCTATTTTGGATTGTGATTATAAGGGCTAGGAGACACTTTTAGTGTTCAGGGGCACCCAACGTCAATTTTTGGAAAATCGGAAGACGGAAGACGATTTGAGATCTAGAATTTTCGGAACATTTGTTGTAAAATTTCTTGCTTGCATGCCTCTCCTAGGATTATCGAACATCTAAAATATGGTATAATTCCCCATTTTTAACGGATTTTTTCCCCAAAAAGGTCACCTTGAATTTTCGAGAGCCTTTTTTCTGGCTGAAATTTTCAAAAAGGTAAGTTTTGATCCCTATAATTTTCGGATCACTAGACTTTCAGTTAGGAAACCCGAACAGATGAAAAATTTTAGGGGATAAAAATATGCCTAAATCTACCGTTTAAATACGAAAATACTTTTAACAATACTATGTTTAAGTGGTTTTGAACTATATTCTCGTTGGGTGCCCCTGAGTGTTTTTTATTTGCCATTGCACAGTGACCTGTAGCTTATCCTACACTTGTGACCTGTGACCAACGTTTTGTACCTGAAGTCCACAGACCGTCTTGGTACACCTAATTGTGAAAATGTTGTCTTAGTCGACACGCTAAAAGAAAAAAGCCAAAAATGCTAAAAGAAAAAGCCAAATAGGATTTAATTAGCACAAGCGGTTTTTTCTCCAGGCGTAAAAACAAATTGCCAATGCGACGGCTACACGCGAGCGTTACAAATGAATTCACCCCATAGTGGTATACTGGTAAACTTATCTAATTAACTCCTATTTACCTTTTCACATTTTCCTTTTAGAATTTCCCTATGACAACGCTACTGTAGTTAGGTGTATTTCTACATTAGTAAGTTGTTCTAAAAGTGACTTAGAAAAAAAGCGCTCATGCAAATACCCTTTCCTTGTTAATTTTCTCGTCATCTTTAACTTGCAGCAAATTCAAGTTCAAGTCTGATCTGAACGACCAGCAGATTAAGGCAATCCGCAGCTCATGGGGGAAGGTGTTACCAAACAAGAAAGAACATGGAAAACTGTTATTTTACAAGTAGGAGCGTACTAATCCTCAACTTAATAAATACTTTTCTTTTTAAGTGAAATACTGACTTCAGAAAAGTTACTGCTCTAATTATCGAGTCTTCAGCTGTGTCTTCGGATAAAATGAGAACGATCAACCTCGGACAATCTAACTTTAGGGTGTGCCCATTGAAACTGAAGTCAGTGAGCAGTGCTTATATGCGGCGCTGTTACATATTTTTACGAAAATGGGTTTAAAGTTTGAGTTTGTGGACAAATGAAATACTCTTTGGAGGATAGTGCGAGACAATGCGAGGGACTGGAAACCAATAAAGCGCGAGGCCAAACTGCAACCTTATCAAATTACGCCTTCCCGTTGTCCTTTGCGAGTTCAAGGCAGCATACCTTCATGAATGACCCGAAATGCAATACTTTCGGAATATTTGAAGTTGCCAATCAGCAAACAGTGACAAAAACTTTATATTTGTTGTCCAAATGTCCTTCAATTCATCAGCAACCTTCCTTTTGATCAACAATAAAACGCAAACAGCGGTGATAAACATTGTGAGTTTTCGCATTTTTATAAACTTGACGTTTCGTATGCTATTCAACATACATTTTCAAAATGATCTTAAGTGACCATTAAAGAAAATGACGAGACTATATACTGTATTCCAAAATTACAAGGGAACTGGAAATGAGATTAAAAATTAAAAATTATTAACAGTAATGAATTCAAAAGACAACAGCTAATAAAGCATCAGCTTTTCACTGCTTCCTTCCTTTTACTAATCCAATTGTTTCAACAGAGTATTTGAGATGGCCCCGCACTTGAAGGATTTATTTCCCTTTGGTAGCGACTTGACGCAGCCACAGTTTACTGAGCATGCCCTGAGAGTAATGAACACTATTGATTTAGCAGTGAAGAATTTGGATAACCCGGATGTACTTGTCCCAGCCCTGGAGGAACTGGGACGAGTGCATGCAATGTTTGAATTAACCAATCAAGAGTTTGAGGTACGAAACTTTCTCATTTAAAAATGTTGTGCTCGTAGTTTTGGCTTTTAGGTCAGGGAGGAAATCCTATTGTATCCTAGTTGCCCTATGAGAACCATGTTTAGGTTTTGCTTATGAGATCTATGAGGCTTTGACAATTTTCAGCTCTTATAATAAAGCTTCTACTTCACACATTTGGTNATAGTGCGAGACAATGCGAGGGACTGGAAACCAATAAAGCGCGAGGCCAAACTGCAACCTTATCAAATTACGCCTTCCCGTTGTCCTTTGCGAGTTCAAGGCAGCATACCTTCATGAATGACCCGAAATGCAATACTTTCGGAATATTTGAAGTTGCCAATCAGCAAACAGTGACAAAAACTTTATATTTGTTGTCCAAATGTCCTTCAATTCATCAGCAACCTTCCTTTTGATCAACAATAAAACGCAAACAGCGGTGATAAACATTGTGAGTTTTCGCATTTTTATAAACTTGACGTTTCGTATGCTATTCAACATACATTTTCAAAATGATCTTAAGTGACCATTAAAGAAAATGACGAGACTATATACTGTATTCCAAAATTACAAGGGAACTGGAAATGAGATTAAAAATTAAAAATTATTAACAGTAATGAATTCAAAAGACAACAGCTAATAAAGCATCAGCTTTTCACTGCTTCCTTCCTTTTACTAATCCAATTGTTTCAACAGAGTATTTGAGATGGCCCCGCACTTGAAGGATTTATTTCCCTTTGGTAGCGACTTGACGCAGCCACAGTTTACTGAGCATGCCCTGAGAGTAATGAACACTATTGATTTAGCAGTGAAGAATTTGGATAACCCGGATGTACTTGTCCCAGCCCTGGAGGAACTGGGACGAGTGCATGCAATGTTTGAATTAACCAATCAAGAGTTTGAGGTACGAAACTTTCTCATTTAAAAATGTTGTGCTCGTAGTTTTGGCTTTTAGGTCAGGGAGGAAATCCTATTGTATCCTAGTTGCCCTATGAGAACCATGTTTAGGTTTTGCTTATGAGATCTATGAGGCTTTGACAATTTTCAGCTCTTATAATAAAGCTTCTACTTCACACATTTGGTCTGTGAGCTCCAAACATGCAAAGTCGAACCGCAGGACGGAGAAGGCTGGAGCAATTTTAGGCTTGGCCATTTTCCATTTGTGGTGTCCATCCTGGGGCATGCGCAATTTTGGAAATTATTGCAAAAGAAAAAAAACATTCAGTACTTTCACATTACACATAATACACATTGTTTTCCCCCAAAAATTTTGCATAAGTACTGTTTTCAAGTTCTCTTGGGAGGATTGTAAATCACGAGAGAAATTGGAAATAAAGCTTATGCAAAACATTTGGGGGGTAAACAAGGTGTATTATGGGAATGTGAAAGTAGTTACCAACATCTGACACCGCATCTGTCAAAATCGCTCATGTTTTGACAAGCTTTGGAAGTTTTTTTAGTACTGTATAGATTGTACATCAAAGTCATCTTAAAAGTAATGATGTCTCAAGTGGAACAACATCTGTGGTTTCCCAACTGACAGTCGACAGGGTGCAAAGAAAGTCATTTTTAAAGCTTGCCATTCAGGCAAGTTGAGCTAGCATATACTAGCCCAAACGTCATTTCAACTAGCTCCAAAAACATTTTGACGAGCAGAATTGATTTCACAGTTCTTCTGTAATTTGAATTCCTCAAAAAACTTCACTTGCTCATCGGGCAAGTTAAGAACAGAATTCACTAGCCCGATAGTAAAATCCACTAGGCCTGGGCTATCGGACATGACTTTCTTTGCACACTGGTCCAAATATTTGTTACCATGAAGAATATCATGTCACAGTTTCCTGTTAGATAGATGCACAGACCTTCAATTGGAGTGTCAGAAAAGGATAATTCAATAAATTCTCAAACTTTTCATGGTTAAACAAATCGTGTCATGTTAAGTCTGTAAACGAGCTGCTAGAGCAGTTTTACCTGATGAACAGTTCAGTACAGTTCTGAGACGATCTGGGTATGTTTTCCCCATTAACGCCAAAGTATCGTAATTTTCTTTCCTTTCAGTATGTTGGACAAGCTCTGCTATCAGTCCTAGAGGAGGGACTAGGAGAAGCTTTCACACCAGCATTAAAGGCTGCCTGGACTGATGTCTATGCTATAATTACTGATATTATGCTGACAGCAATCACTGACTACAATGCTGATAAAAAGGACAACAAAACTAATAATTAAGTAAAGAATGTTGTAGAACTAGACTTGTAAAATGATTAAGTACAATTCAACAACAATTGCTTTTTTAAAATATCAGATTTATTTTACAATCATGAGCCATGAGTAAAGCTTAAACTAGAGGAACTAAGCAAAAAGTAGGTCAGAAAGTAGGTGCGGCAGTAGAGTCAATAAATTGCAACCCCACAAAGCAAAACAAATGATAGCTAAATCAAGTTGAAAAGCTTTGGAAAGCTACATCATGCATTGTCTTAGTAATTGTCTGAACCTGTTCAATTCTTGTTTTTCTTTGTCTTAGTTTTAAAACAGTGATTGCAACATGTAATGTTTATGAGGCAGGTCATGTCAGTTGGAAACTAGTGTTATTTAGTTATATTTTGTCATTTGGATTGCCACAGTGCATTGCTGTTTATCTGCAATAGACCTTTTCACTGATATGGCGGCCATATAATGAATTAATTCGATTTAAGGAGTATTATAGGATGCCCAGGGGGCATGAGCGCTTTTAGGGACATTTTTTCTTAAAGTTTTCATAGAATAAGATTGTAATGGGAAAAAAGATCCCTGTGCCGTGTTTGGATGTAATAATGATCACCTTTTTCCCGAGAAATATACAGTGAAAGACCATATTTCTAATACTAAACTAGAAAAAGTCGATCATTATTACATCCAAACACGGCACAAGGATCTTCTCTCTCATTACAATCTCATTCTAAGAAAACTTCAAGAAAAAATGTCCCGGAAAGCACTAAAAAATACAAACGAAATGTGCTCATGCCCCCTGGGCATCCTGTAATACTCCTTCAATCGAATTAATTCAATATGGCCGCCGTATCAGTAAAAAGGTCTACTGACTGATGAAGATGAAAAAAAGTTTATAACTTCATTAATGCTCCAAAAGAAAACAATGCACTTGGAAAGAACTCAACTACGTCAAGAAAAATCAAATATAAAACTAAATGTTACAAGGACACATAACACCTTTTTTCAATTGGCCTGTATATATGATTCGCTTGTAAGGAAAATGGTGTGAGCTTCATGATAGGGGAGAAGTGTGATGTAATCCTTACTTTGTTAGACAATTAAATACTAATTCCACACTTTTTGCATTTTAAAACTACGATAAGAATGGAAAAGTGAAAAGTGTGGAAGCAACTTGTAGAAATAAAAAGAAGGGAACTACGTTTAAAAGCTGCTAGAGCAATAAAGACGAATCTATTGTAAATGTACAAGATGTATTCATTTATTAATGAAAAATGACAAAAAGGTTACAGTATATATTATTTACATTTTCTACTTAATTTATGGATGGATAACAGTGAAAACCACTTTTATACAGAAGCCACCTATAACAAGATGAAATTTTGAGAAAAATAATGTCAGTGGTACAAAGGTGCTGAGTTTGCCATTAGTTCTCACTCTTGACAAACAAGTTTTTTCCACACTTTTATAAACTTTGTTTTTGCTTGCAAAAGAACAAAGAAACAAAAATTCCCAGGGGTACAAAATGACCTGAACATTGGCGTACAGTATTCCCATATTATCATTATCATTATTTTAATTATAATAATAATAATGATAATTTTATTTCAAAAGCTACTGGTTTACATTGGGTACTACCATATTGTATTCATGTTCAGATTGTCTCCGTGTTCAGGTGATTTGGTACATTAAGTCTGAGTGGTGCAGTGATGAGAGCCTTGGCTTTGTGGCCTGGGGTTCAAATGAGTGGAAAAGAATGGATGATGGATAGGGTTCTTACCTGGTATTTCCAGTCACTTCTGCAGAATAAACTGCTCTATAAATTCATTCTGTTCACTTTCAACCTTTTGTAAAGCTTCATGTTGCACTCGGAATCTAATAATAAAACGAAAAGATAACAAAACGCTGCTTATGATCTGAACATAGCTCTAAAATATATGCAAAAATATGTACGTGATGTATTTATAATGTGTGACATTAAGAAAACAGTGTGGTTGATATTTTTTGCTGTCACATGCACTACAAACTTCAAGTGTAGCTGTCACTTTCAAACTCTAAAACAATAGCTACACTTATTGCACTTATAATAGTTTTACTGAATTTACCCCTAGAATCAAGCAATAGAAGGCAAATCTGACAAACGTATGAGAGAAGATCACACAATCAATCAACTTACAAAAGTTCATGTTGATTACAAAGCACAGTAGTAACAGAGCTCCAAGCTCAACATTTTCAATTTCATTTTCAATTATTTCAGAGTTGTGCTTTTGGCGACCTAAAATCATACAATGGTCACCAGGCACAAAATTGACTCGTTGCCAGAAAGGACACTTTGTGCAACATCACATGATAAGCTGAAGCTGCCCAACTATTGCAATAGAATTTGGAAGTGCATGTAACATCTCAAGGTTTAATACCAAGACAGCCTAGGGTGAAAGAGTCAAAATGATAAAGAAAACAGAGCATAAATAATATTTCATGCAAATATAAATCCATGGATCTCTCTTGGACTTGAAGACTAACTAATAAGACAGTACAGTGTGGCACATGACCGTCGAACACAGCTGTTCACCAAATTGGCAACTTGTACTGCAATCATCGCAACCAAAACGATCACAATGGCCTTTATGTGTGATTATGTCAGACGAGCAATTTCACCACCAAGCCTCCTTTGCAGAGTAAAATTCTTAACATTTGCACTCTTTGTGCAATGGTATTCTTTTCAACTGCACTGCCTTGGGAATTCATTTATGTAAAATTTTGCAACTTCACAATACTAATTCAAACACAGTGGCTATTGGTACAGGACCCGTACACTGACGTGTATTTGCTATTCATACAGGATTAAGTCTCTTCTTGAAATTTATATGAAATTTCTAAGTCTCTTGAAATTTCTGGTCAACAAATTTCCACGAAAGTGTGAGTCTCTTCAACCACTCTTCAATTTTTAAGGAAAAAAAATTGGGTGGCAAATTTTACAGGAAAAACAAATTCAGTGTGGTTAGATTGAGAATCGATCCTGGGGCATAGAATCCATAGTTCATAGTCTTAACCACTATACTACGGAGTATTCATTGCTGAAATGTGTTTGGTTTTAATTTGTATAGCAACAACCATGACCGTAAATAGAAGCTAACCGTTTCGAGTCAGTGCTTAGCCCTAATCATTATTTTTGTTACTCAACCCTAATCAGTATTGTCATTGCCTAACCCTAATCAATTTAGTCAGAATCCCATATAAATAGGAAATACAAGTGGGTATACGTAAGAATAGCCATTAGGTATTTCAAATGGAGGCTTAGTGGTAAGATCTGCGTGTCCGAAGTAAACACCATCACAAGGGGCATTTGGACCACTGGATACAGATGCACAATATGTTAGACTGAGTCAACAAGTGGTACAGTCATTCTTACCGTTCAAGCTGTGTTTTCTTTTCAGCAATCAGTGCTCTAAGCTGTTGCTGTTGTGCTTCTCTTTGCTTTGCAATTGACTTCAAAAGATTTCTTGAGCCAATAGCCTGAAGTATTTGGAAATAAAATTAGAGACTCTTTTGGTGCATTCAAAATGCTGTGTCCTCCCAACCCCTCTAAATATTTACACAGTCGGAACTGTACTTTATTTTAATCACTGTAAATTACGCAAAGACACAACAGCAAAAAAAATAAATGAAGGAAAGACACAATATTAAAAATATGATGAATGATTTTGATATTAAATAAGGATATATCTATCATATATGCGACTCAGGGCTTTTAACATTCCGGCCTGCATAAAGATTAAATTAATATAAAACCAAGAGAAGCCTCTCTGATACCACTTTAGACCTGGCCTGAATTTAGCTTGTTTTGCAGAACAAGTGTTATCTACCCCGACGCAGGTTCGCCTGCCCCGTTAGTTTGGACTGCTGCCACATCATGGATAACAATTATTGTAAAAAAAAAAAAACAAACTTAACTCTGAGAGCATGCTGTGCAACGAAATCTGACGTTTCTTAGCTTGATAACCCCCCTTTCCAAGTTTCAATCTTCGAAGCTATTTCCAACAACCCCCACCTCCTCTAAATCCTCCTAGACCTCCACCCCATAACATGAAAGCTTTATCAGTTAGTTCCCTCTTTTGGTTAACCGGCCGGTTCTACGTAGACGTCTAGGTAATAATTCGTGATTTTTTTAATAGTTTAGTTAACATTATGATATCGGCATCAAGAAAAAATAACAAAGTTTAGTGATAGATCAGTATTGTTGCCCTACGATCCGGAAAAACATCTTTTCACTACGTAGATTCCTCGTCAAAATAATCCCAAAAGCCTTTCCATGGCGCAGGGCGGTACCGTTAATCAGAGTCAAACCACATGCACTAACTGGTTAGGGGCAATAATAAAAACGGCCGCCCTCACAGCCGGCAAAAATGTGGTGTTCATTAATTTTTGGCATCGTTAATGTAAAGATGCTTTCTTTTGAATGCTTTTGGTTAATACATGCAACTCCTGTTATCGCAGTATTCTGGCTCCTAAGTGGATGCAACAAGGGCGAATCACGAAGAAAACGCGAAGAAAGAGGATACCCGAGACGGTCAGCCAGGCTCCAAGGGGAAGACACAGTTCTGTAAGGAAACAAATACCGAGGACGGCGACGGCGGAGAAAACGTCACTGAAAAAGTAAATTCGCGTTCTTTCAATCTTCATAGCGATTACTCCAAGTCACTAACTTTGTCAAATGTAGGCGAACCCTCCTAAAGCTGAATTCCTAAGAACCATATTGAAGTTCAGAAAGAGAGAGGAATTTTCGTCGTCGCTTGTGGAAATTAGGCATTTTCACGTCGTAGTCGTGCAGTGACGGCAAAGAAATGTACAAAAAAGCGTCATGCACGAGAAAAATAGTTGTTTTGCTAATTAAACCTATTGCTTTTGTGGCGTTCCCGTTGCCGTCGCCGTCGCCGTCGCCATCGTCGGCTCTTAAGGTCCCTTTTATGGTTTTTCTGAGACGTAGTCAGTTGGTTAGGCGGTCTGGATGGGGATACCTCGACAACACTTATCATTTACAGAAAAAAATCATTTTCCGTTCTGGACACATTAATACGGACTCGGAGCAAATACTTTTTGCTGAGCGATACGTTTCGACCTTTAATACCTCAATGTCCTGCTCACTCATATGAGCTTATCGCTCACAAGATCTCATCCATCACGTGACGATCTCAAAGCGTCGTTTTCATAACCGCTGTCATTTCTAATAGTTAAACACTACAGCGTTTTCAGGTGATATCCCTGTTCAATGTTGGACCTAGTTTCTTGGGGTACAGTTCCTGACCCAGGCAGTTGTCCTTATTGTCTTCTGTTATTAGTACTTTGACATTGCCTCTAATCATTTAAAATGTTGGTTCTAACACAGTCACCGATTTAAAACACCCAAACCGAAACCGTTTCCATAACCCACAACACCACTCAAAAAAGGCAATAAACAGTAACCCCCATTAAAACCCACAACACCACTCAAAAAAGGCAATAAACAGTAACCCCCATTAAAACCCTTTGGAATGCCAGCACAACCGCTGACATTTGCAATAGTTAAACACAACAACGAACACCCTTTGCAGCTCAGGGCTATGTGTAGCCTGCGTAGCGAACGTTTCCGTGTGGTTCCGGAGCAAACAAAGACTCCTTTTCTCGCGCATCCAAAACCAAAAATCCCTTTCCTCGGTTTTCTTTGCTTCGCTTGCTACGCAGGCTAGGCTATGACCCGGTGCAAAACAGGACAAGTGACATTAAAGAAACAAAAACTAGGGAGACACAACGACCACAAAAGGTTTCCCACCGCACTTTAGCCAAATTTATAAAGTTTAGACCTCCTTTTGGAAATGAGGGGGTTGACGAATCTTTTACTAAGTCAGTGACTTCAGTGTTGAACACTTGACCCTATGATCAGTGTATGATTAACAAAAAGTATTTTTGCCCTTTCATAGACACTAAACTCTCCTTCGGAGAATATAATTTTTTTATATTTCACCATCTCAAGGAGTTCACCATGTCAATCATTTTTATTAAAAGAATTTTCAAGCAGCGCATATCCGCTACAAGTAACCCATGTCTACGCATCAAATTTACCAATAAAAGACGAGCCAATTAATTAAACTGTCAATGCGAAAAAAAATAATCTCTCGTGAAATAACTTTATCTGTTCTTGTCTTGTTTCCTCGAGGATTCTTCGTCGCTTTCGGGAATTACTCGGGGCCCGACCGCTCTCCGAGTTGCGCTGAGAAGCTCGGCGTCGGGGAAGTTTCCCGTGCCTCTGTGTTCATACAGAAGAACATTTAGTGCCTCTTCGTAAATTCTTGAATCAGGGAATTCTACTTTAGTTTGCGGTTTCTCTGTGGCGTAGACAATCGAGGTGCAGCACACTTCAGCGAGTTTCTTGCCGTTGCCATAAAAAGTCCAACAACAAATTTCGTTGTTTCCGATCAAGTCCTTAATGAACAAAATACGTCCGTTGAAGCGAAGAGATAACTTGTCGAAAAGTTCGATATTTTTTAACAGATTGTCATCTGACTGACTGTGGAAACAGAAGAAAAAGATCTGTTAGGTAACTAAACATTTGCTGCGGACAAAGATTTCAAATTTTTCTTTCCGTTTATCGAACTACTAAAAAGGGAACAAGCATAAAAGTTAAAGTGCCCCTAACCCTTCAATTTTTTTTCTTTTGGTAGATTTCCATATCTTTCAAGAACTCATTTTCGAAAAAATTTTTTAGAAATATTGAATCCTTTTTTTTTACGAGCGCTAGAAGTGAAGGCAGTCTTGTCAATATTTTCACCTATCGTTCGCATTAGTCCCCCACTCGGCCAAATGTGTCCAAATATGGAGCGTGACGTAAGAAAAGGACATCGTGCAAAAATATCCGAAGATTCGCGGTAATGCTTCAATTGTAAACAGAGAAAATGGTTGAAAAATGTGTGGTTTTTGGATGCAGCAACTCTCGAAATGTAGAGAGAGGAATCAGCATGCATAAGATTCCTTCTGATAACGATCCGAGGCCTGAAGTCCGCCGAAGAAGACAACGATGGATAAAGTTCGTGAATGAGACGCGCAAACACTGGACCCCGGGAAAGACTTCTTCGATATGCTCAGTGCATTTCAAGCCCGAAGACTTTACAAGACCTTTTCAGTCTAATCTAAAACGACTCCTTAAGGAAGATGAATTTGGAGTTTGCGTTTGGCCAACCATCCATGTTGGAAAAAGAGGAAGTGAAAATGACCATCAAGGTTCCCCGACAAAACGACAAAAGAGAATGGCAAGTAATCTTCTATTAGACCTGCTATTGTCACCCTGGTTTAGACAAGTATTATATCAAATTATGAGCAACGTATTCTTCCTATATAGAATGTCAGATCGGCCAAAGAAAGGATGTCCAATTTGGATTCGTCGTGCGCAGCCATTGAGTTAGAGCCATCGACTGGTCATCAGGACACCACTCTTGATGTGAGTGTAAGCTGTTTTTTACTTTTTCTGCCAGTAAGCTGGTGATACATATTTTGCCCAGATAAATTATTAACATCAGATATTTTTAATAGGTGAGTTGCACAGAACCAGAGACCAGTACAAGTCAGGACACCACTCTTGTTCTAAATGTAAGTTTTTCTTCACTGTTGTTGATATACATGTATCCCTTTTTTCTGCCCATGACTCTGTGAAATACACTCTGATACATATTATGCCCAGACAAATTATTAACACCAAGTATTTTTTATAGGTGAGTTGCACAGAATCAGAGACCAGTACAAATCAGGACACCACTCTTGATCTAAATGTAAGTTTGTCTTTATTGTGGTTGATGTGCATGTATCCCTTCTTTTCTGCCAATGACTGTGTGAAATACACTCTATGATACATATTTTGCCCAGACAAATTATTAACACCAGGTATCTTTTATAGGTTAGTTGCACAGAATCAGAGACCAGTACAAATCAGGACACCACTCTTGATCTAAATGTAAGTTTTTCTTTACTGTTGTTGACGACTGTACATGTATCCCTTTTTTCTGCTGATGACTCTGTGAAATACACTCTGTGTTACATATCTTGCCCAGATAAATTATTAACACAAGTTTTTTTTTTAGGTGGGTTGCACAGAACCAGGGACCAGTACAAGTCAGGACACCACTCTTGATCTAAATGTAAGTTTTTCCTCACAGTTGTTGATGTACATGTATCCCTTTTTTCTGCCAATGACTCTGTGAAATACACCCTGTGATACATATCTTGGCCAGATAAATTATTAACACAAGTTTTTTTTTTTAGGTGAGTTGCACAGAACCAGGGACCAGTACAAGTCAGGACACCACTCCTGATCTAAATGTAAGTTGGTAGTCATGTTCCATGAATGGCATGACAGTAAACATGTAGTCCTGACAGCAGTCTGGAACCACATGCAAGCTAAATTCATGCAACGAATGATAACAAGCTAATACAAAATTATATCAAGGTGCATGTTATAACCTTTGGAGGTCTCCCTGATTTACATGTAATATTGAACTACATGTACATGCATTTAGTTAAAAGACCTACTTTAGAACTTCAATTTCACAACTCATGGCAACTGGTATTCAGATCTTGTGTGACAAAATGGCTAATGTTAATTTTTTAAAGGTACAACATAAGTCTGTGCAAACCCTAACTGACTCGACACAAAGCAAACTACTACGAGAAACAGAGGTTCTGCAAGGGAAGCTTGCAACTACACGTCAGGCCCTCCAGAGACAGACTGCAAAAAATAAATACCTCAAGAAAAAAGGTAGTGTAAGATAAGACTTGACAAGTGTAATTCATGACTTATACCATCATAATGCCTGCGCAGCAGTCAATCAGAGCACCTGTACTATTGTAACCATAATTATAATAAAATAATGTTCAGAACAAATAGGTAGTGAGTAGTGAGTTTTTTCTGGCATATTTTTGGGGTCTATTTATGTTTTGAAGTATTTTTCAGGGTTGAACATTTTCATGCCTTGGTATTTTTAGGCCATTTTTTCAGCTCTTGTGACATGCATTGCTATCTTTTTCACCTAAAGTGCTTCTCTACTAACCCAACATAACTATTTTATTTGTTTCCACTTTTAGTACAACAACTATCAAAGAAACTGAATGAAACTGAAGAGAGTGAAAGGAAATTGAGTGCTGAAGAGCAGGAGGGGGAAGAGGAGGAAGAGGGGGATCTAGAAGAGGAAGAAGATCAATACGCTGATGAGGAAACCGATACAGAAACAATTGAAGAAGAACCTGATTTTACTTCTGGATCCAACTATGAACCAGCCAGTGAGAGTGAGGAGGATGGCGACGCTGGGGATTCAGATATTGACGAAGTTTTTAAATCGACCCGGTTAGAAGACATAATTTTTTTGCTAAGTGATAGCTGACCACCATTCCTTGATATTGAGAATAACAAGCTTGTATACAAGGGTCACCTATTGACGATTGTAGCTGAAGCCTTTATATTTGCTTTCAGAGTCAAATCACCAAAAGATGGCAACCTTAGGACCGAGCCGAAATTCATTGTCTTTCTATCACAGCTGATGTTGCTGTTCCAGTCGTGCCACGTTTGCAAGGGCAAGAATCCACCAGAAGTTGAAGCTCAACAGATTGGCACCAAAGCTGTCATCACCACTGTCTGCACAAATCCAGGATGCTGTGCAGAATCTACATGGCACAGCCAGCCAAATATGCCAGGCACGAAACTTCCTGCTGGGAATTTTCTTCTTTGCATGTCCGTCCTGTTTGCTGGTGGTTCAATAACAAAAATAAGACAGATCTTCAACCATATGGGTTTGGCATGTGTATCAGTGAACACCTTCTTCAAACATCAAAGAGTGAGTTAAAATTAACATTTACCTTGTGTTGTGATGTGCTGAAACCAAAAAAGAATCATTATTCTTGGTTTGCAACCATGTGACAAAGCTGCCATGTTAGATGACAAAACAATATAATTTTTTTTACAGAATTTGCATGAAAAAAGAGTTTAGTTCCCAGGGAAGAGATACAATTTTGTTCTTGTAATCCAGCATGGCCGCCATGATGTCAGCTGCAAACCAGCAATAACATTAGTTTCGTCTCAATTTGTAACAGAGCACCTGTTCATTAGACAGGTCTGTAATAAAAAATATTAGATAATTTTTTTATATTAGTAAACTCAATTCCCTCTTTGTTCTGAAAATATTTGGTGTTTCATTTTTTCATACTTTTCAGAGTCATCTGTTCCCTACTGTGCACCTCTTCTGGAAAGATTATCAAACCAGGCTACTGGCAAAGCTGAAGGATCTTGGTACTGGCCTTGTACTTGCAGGCGATGGGCGTCACGACAGTATGGGGCACTGTGCCAAGTTTGGTGCATACACCATATTATGTTGTACAGCCATTCCATCCATAATCCATTTTGCACTTGTACAGGTATGCACAACATGGATGGCTACAATAATATTATCTTTTTGAGCAAAGCAAAAAATTTCTGCTAGGTTTACATTCTTTGGTCCACAGTAAATTTCAAAGTATTGTGCACACATGCAATTATTGCAAAGTGGTTAAGGTAACTAAACCAAATTATGTTGATATTTTGCTTTTTCAGAGGAATCAAGCTGGCAACAGCCCTGCAATGGAGTTCATGGGTTTTCAGCTGTGCATGAACTTCCTTGCTGGATGTGGCATTGTAATAACCACCTTTATCTCAGACCGTCACACCCAGATTGCAGCCTACTTCAAGACAGTCCTCAAACACATCACACAATACTTTGACCTCTGGCATTTAAAGAAAAGTGAGATTAAAACTTAGTCATCTACCCTGACTCCAACAGCTCCCCATTGTGTTTTGAGCAGCAACATGTCTTACTTAGAAATCTTGAGAAAACTTACAGAAAGCCTATGGGTCAAGCCTCGATGACATTAGTTAGAATTTTTATTTAATAATCTAATAACTTCTCCGTTGCTTTTACATGTATAACAGTTGTTGTCATAAGCAGTTATAACATCTGTATTTGATTTAATCATTGAAGATTATACCCTTACAACAATGCACATGTCATATCCAGTTCACATTATTATAGTACTGGGTTTGAGGTTTTAGCTAGAAAACAGCTATGTAAGTAATAATAACAGTTGTAGGAGGCAAAATAGGCTTTGGTTTGACCCTCTCTTCAATAAATCAATAATTTTTGTGTTTTTATTAATTTGTAAACAGAGATCAAGAAACTAATTTCAAAACTTGCAAAAGAGAAAGACAATGAGCAGCTCAAGGAGTGGATAAAGCCATGCACAAACCATCTTCACCGGAGTGCTACAACCACACCAAGTGGAAATGGAAAAATAATCTGGGCTAAGTTTAAATCATTCCTAAGCCACATTGTTAACAAACATTCAGACTTAGACGATCCTCTCTTTAATAAATGTGCCCATGGAGAGATTAATGATAGGACATGGCTTCAGACAGGTGAGAAAATCTCCCACTCTAACACTTGTGATGGTCAGTTGTTTTCTAATGTGGTTTTGATTTAGACTACAAGTAGTCTTTCTTTTTTTAGCCTGCTAAGTGAAATGCACAAGACACAAAATGATTTAGTGTGTGACTCAGCTTGATGCTCATACCTTTTCCTCATTAAATGTGAAGAAGAGAAAAAGGAAAGAAACTGCTCGCAGTCAAGTTTGATTTCTTTCATGTTGTTAAATCAATATCCCTATTTTATAACTCATTCTTTGCTTCTGTGAGAGTGTAGCAAATTTTACTCAAATACACACTGTTATTAGTTCTGATCATTACTGTTTTTGTCTTCAACAGATGACAAAGCCTATGAAAGGTTATGCAAAGTGCTGACAACTAACAGCCTGAAGAAGGGGATTCAACAGGCATCACCAATCGACCAAACAGATTGCTTGGAAGGGTTCCATTCTGTACTAAATCAGTTTGCCCCAAAGATGATTGCATATTCTTATGTTGGGATGCTTTGCAGGTAGTTGTAATACAGGCATATCAAAGGGGAGGGCTGCGATAGGTGTACTTCCTTCAGAAACAGCTTTATCTCCTTTTCTTCGGAATATTTTTATTAGTATAATCTGGACAGTTGCCAATAAAAATTAATGTTGTTATGGCAGTGCATCCCACTATGCAAATAATGGTACCCTACTGGCTGCGAACATTTCAAGTACAAACATTGTGTAATTTTTTAATCTGTTTTCCAGGCACATTCTAGCGGCACTTCACTTTAACTACAATTTACGTAGAGAAGCAAAGACGAATCCAGATGGGACAGAAAAAGTAAAAGTTAGCTACCCAAAATACAAGAATGGGGAAGCAACCGTCAGGAGTGTCAAGATAGAACAGAATTTTGGTTTGCTGAGTTTGTTTTATTTAAAACATGTATCTTTTCCTGTGTTCACAATCGCAGTGTAAACATGATTCATCAAAACTTGAATCCTTTCTAACTTGGAGCCACGGTAGCAACAACACGTACAAACATTCAACCAGAAAATTTAAGGTTGGCAAAGAATAACCTGTTGACAGTCAATAGAATTTAAAATTTGCCAAAATAGCTGAGATAATTTTAGAATCATGTTTTGGTGCTAGTGTGAACACAGCTTTAGACAAACAAAGATTGCTTTGCCTATTTCTATTCATTGGTGCACTTTTTAAATAAAGTTTAATTAACTACAGCAGACAGAAATATTTGGCATATTTCGGTTTTTTTAGACTATGTTGAGGAGCTCTACCAGTTTTATCTAAAATCCAGCAAGGAGGACCTGGCTAGTGCTGTGGATGAGCTCAAGGAGATGACCCCACAGCCAATGCTGTCAATGTTTGAAAAACAACCCAAGGAAGCTGCTATCCAAAAGCGGAGCGAAAGGAGGAGAATGGTAACAAAGGAGGTCCCTCCTACAGTGGAAGGTAAATAAATACATTTGATTAAAAATTCACTTTTTTAGTGTACATGTCCAATTCTTGGTTATACAAAGAGGAGTGAATCGAACAACAGAGAATACTATTCACTGTAGTGCTTTCTATTTCTAAGACCAGAATGGCTGCCATTTCATTTGTTCCTGGTTTGCAAACCAGGAATACAATAATATTATTCTTATTCATTCTGTTGGCTAATATGAGTTGATTTTTCTGCTCTCAGCTCCTGTAGAACAACCCGAGGGAAGAACAGGGGCCCAGACAACAGCAAGAAAGGAAAGACGATGCAGAACATGCAAAGAACCCCTCAAAGGTCACAAGAATGTGACCCATTGCCCTAAAAACCAAAAGTAGAGGAAGAAACCAAACCATTGCCATGGGAATAGTGTTTTACTAGAAACATTTCATTGAAAGTTGATCTTTTTAAAAAGTGTTAGGCTAGTCCATGTTCTTTACTTCAGAGTTCCATTCAATAGTGTAAATCACTGTAAATAAACAGTATTCTGTCAAACTGAAGTGACATATATCTATGCATTGTATTTCATGAAGGAACCCTGTTTTGATCTGATCAAATAATATTGATGTATTTTAATACATCAGTTGAAATGAATTTTTCTTTATAAGAACAGCATCATTCCTATGTTTACGCTGTAGCTGACTTGATCAAAATTAAGGGTTTTCATGAACTTTTTGATTTTGATGCATTAGCTGAAAGATGAATGACAGTTATTTCTACGAATAAAATACACCATAATCATTTATTTGCTGTCTTGAAATGCAGTGTACACATTTATATGATCCTCTCTGCTTTTTAGTCATCAAGATCAAAACCTGTCAGTTCTTCATTGTCTTGAAGGGGGTAGGTTCTTCTAATGATAGTATATGCACAGGCTGGCAGTGGAATTCGTTTCTTCCCAAGAAACCCATACACTAGCCGTGAAAACTGACGATACGCAACCGCTCGCATTAATCTGAAAATAGAAGAGTGACAGGTTCAACAAGAATGCATAATGGCAAGCGTTGGATTTCCACTCTCTGTGAATACATAAGCCTACTAATAAATGAGCATAAACTAGTCGCAAAACATTTTGTCAGTCTTCGATATTGAAAGGGCCTTTAGACGAAATTCGCCTGAGCGGTGTAGAAGTTTTAGAAACCGGCTGAGTTGTATTAAAAAGCCCGTGAGAGGCAAGATTATTTTTAAGCATTGGGTAGCTCATCTTAGTTGGGGTAGGGGGTGGGGTGGGGAGGAATGTCCCTGGTCTGAATTTCAAAACCCGTTATCACCATCATCACCTTTATTTATACACGGTTGTAAACATCAGACATTGTTGATATAAATAAATATTTAATATAAACAAACTCACTCTAAACCACCATTTGGCCTGACACATTCAAAGCAGCCTTCCAAGAAGGCCCCCCGGAAGTACTCCCGCCCTATGCCGCCCTGAGCCATCCCAAACGATATGTTTTTTGCGCCCTTTCGGTCTGAAAATGGGTATAGACTTTACCGATTTTGGTCTGGAATCGGGTTTGTTTTTCGAGGGAACTCGTAGGAGTGTATGAACGTTGTCGTTTCAATTCCAAGTGAATAAGAAAGAAAGAGTAATATGCGAATTCGAAATGGAAGTTTAAAGGTCTTTTTGTTGGTGTTATAATTTAAGTAATGATGACATAATTTCTGCCTATGTAAACATGTCTGCCGCGTTTGTGACCCTTGTTTGTTTGCTCTGAAAATGGGTATGGTTTTTAGAGGCCAGATCTGAAAACGGGTGTGGAGAATGACATTTTCTGGTCAGACACAAGATCAGGATTTAAAGAACCAGGCGGCACACTCAATTCCCAATACTCAGTAGCCTGCGAGCAAGATCTCCTATTTGGGCGAGTGAAACGAGTCTCGCGAGAACGCGCGAGCGAGCGGCGAAGCCGCGAGGGGCAGAGGAAAGGCCCTTTCCTCGGCCCCTCGCTTGCGCGTTCTCCCAAGGCTCGCTTCGTTTGCCCAAATAGGAGAGCTTGCTTGCAGGCTTAATACCCAGTGGTACCCCGCCAGGAAGCAGGCATAAATGGAAATTGGAAGGAGGCAAAAAAGGGGAAGTGTGTCCAAGCAGAGACCGCAAAACAGTCCGTATTCTCGTGTATTCAAGTACGCGCGAACAGTCAAACAAAAGGTCTGGAGCGGGGCTGAAAAGAGAGAGCAAGACTGGTAGGGCGTGTGAGCCTTGCGTGCTTCGTGCGTGTGAAACTCTTAAGGTACACTAAACCGATTTTGAGAAAAACCCGACTGTTTTGCAGTCTAGTCCTAGTAACCCCTACCTTTCCACCCTCTCCTTTTATGCCAAACTATGACAGACCACAAGGCTGTGCTCTAAGGAAAATTGAAGGGAGCCCCGTGCTCTGAGCCTGCAAACTCGAGGGTGCCCAACATATGATTTGTGTGAAAAACCGATGATCTTCTCATCGCTGGAGAGCAAAAGTTGGTTGCCAGGGGCCACCAGGCTCTGCTAGGGCACAGCCAGGGACCAATTAAAGATCCACTAGACACTCTCTTAGGACACTCTTTAATCTTAGCAAACAACACATGCTACAACTAAGAGTTGAATAGTATTTTCTATCCAACTCTAAGCCAAAGCCAGATCATCACATGAGGGTTTGCCTATTTGTGTGTTACAGTTGAACCTTGATTATCTGGACTCATTTGGACTTGAGTAAATAGCCCAGATAAATGAGAGTGAAAGAAAAAAATTATTGTTAATTATTTGTTTGTTATTGTAAATTAGCTCCTACTTAAATTTATGTATGGACTGTACATAAGTATTTATTATTTTCAATCCTTCCCTCTCGATGCTGTCTGTGAATTTCAGGATCTTCTCTTTGCTTATACGTATATCTGAGATCTGCTGGTTGCTGATTTTAAACTTGAGTGCTAAATTTGTTCCTTTTTCGCCTTTCTCCAAACATGAAATAATCATTTGCTTATCCTTTATGGAGAGAACGCACTGCTTTTGTTGCACAGACATAGCTGATATTTGAGTTTACAATCGATTGGTCTCGTGTTTACATAACCAACGCAAAATCAAGCATGACATTCCTTTAGCAATATAAGAGTTGAGCCAATCATCTTGTTCCGCTCGCGCTTTTTCAAGGAAAACAGATTAAAACAGTATTTCAAACGCATGTTTGGAAAGATTAATGAACTTTTAATAGTTTCAATTTTTCAAGATCATATCTTATGAATATTCATGAAAAAAAAGGGACCAGGGAAACAAGTCCAGATAATCAAGGTTCAACCGTATTGCAAAGTCAAGTACTGATATTCAAACTGCTGGCTGTTCGTTGAGGGGATTTATGTCACCTTAAGGTTAAAATCATTGGTGGATATTAAATGAGTCACATTTCCATCACATTTCCTTTTAAGAATATTAGTAAAATAATTCATCTAATTATTACTTATTATTTATCAAAACATACCCAGTGTAGGAATATTTGTTGTTTGATCTGTTGTATGAGAGTTTAACCACTGGCTGTTGAGAATAAAAAACCATTATTGACATAAATAACTAATATATAATTTATGCATTTAATTCCTTCATTCAACAAGCATAGTGATCAACTAGTAAACTAAAGAAAAGGAAAACACCAAGTATGGAGGGGGGTACTTCCTATACTGGGTTATATGGGGAGGCTCTGATAAAAAGGGTACCTTTTTCAGGATTCAGGTATGTTAAAGGGTAGGGATTTCACTAGTTGAAGTATATGAATGGGTATGGAAACCTGCCATTTCAATCTGTAAAAAGGCTCAAAAGGCCCATAGGCCCAAAGGCTAACAGATAAATCTTATGGCCATGGAAAAGTCAAGAAAACATTCTGTTTTTGTGATTTATTCATAATTAAAAGACATTCACATTTCCAGCAATTAAAAGGGATAGAGGGTTCTACCTTTTAATTATAGGAAATCAATGCTCCATGAAATTAAGGTATATGGGAAAAATAACATGAATTTCATGGAAAATGACTCAGATAAAGAAAATTAATACAAAAGAGAGGGCAACATTTCAAAATGATGGAAATGAACAAAAGGTTCACAAAAAATTAACCTTGCTGAGACAACAGGAACAAAGTGAAATTTATAATCCCAAATGAAAACTTTGTTTGTGGTACTTTCTCTAAACGTAAGAAGAGGGTCAAGCGATCAGAAATCTGGCCACTTTAAGGGCTCTTCACATTTTTACTGATACTGGTGGATTTCCACCCTGATAAAATACTCCTCTTTCTTAGACCTGTGTCAAGAATGTCAGAGAAGTATCGAGGATTTGAGACCAATAATATATTGGAAATTAAGGTTGCCAAAATTAATGCACCACTAAATGAATGAATGCAGAAATTGATGTTTCTAGAAATTGTCCCGACTTAAATTAACAATAATTTCATGAAGCGTTAATTTCCAATAATAAGGTAAACTAGATAGGTGAATGTAGAACTAAGAAGGTATATAAAAGGAGCACCTTCTCTGTCAAAAATGGTGTATAAAATGGTAAGGGTCAGACCCCCACGAGCAGCCTCCCAGTATGTTGAGTACCTATTGATAAAAAATGTGTATCAAAAGTTACTTTTTACCTTTTTACCAGTCACAAGTTGTCTTTCCTCCTTAGCAGATGTTATAAGTGGCACGCGGCAGATAGGATCATGCTCTTCCTTTTTCTTTTCCAGCGCTTTTTCACACAATTCTACTAGCTGTTCAATCAAGTAATACTTGGCTTCCATCAAGAGCTCTTGCAGCTCCACTTCACTCTGGGGCAAGGGTACACTTCCATCACGCAAAAAGTTTAAAACAAGAGGGAAATGCTTTCCACATCTATCAATGAGTATCCAGCCTAATCAACAAAGTGACAATAAATATTTATTGACTTCAATGAAAGATTTCAAGCAACAGAAACTGTTTTGTTTCTCCATATGCACCTAACAGCTCTCCAAGCTAATGTAAATTATAGATAAATTTATGTGTTGTTTGTAGAAGTTCAAAATTAGGGCACTCGTCAGGATATGTGAATTTCTCTAAAGTTATTTACAGAGGTTGTAATTAAACGGAAGTCTAATTCCTGAGATGTAAGCACATTTTTAAATTAATTGTTTGAAAATGACATCAAGTCCATACATGACTGTCTCAAAGCAAACAATATAGAACATTGCAATGGTGACTGTAGAATTCTCCCTTGACAACACTGAATAAAAGTTTGTGGACCTCTTCAAAAACCAACTTCCCATTAATTTCACTTAGGCTCAATTACTAACACCTGCTTGGGAAAATGAGCCCGTACTCATTCTCCAAAAGGGGATGATCGATGACTAGACTTGGGAGAGGGTAGAGATTGTGCCTTCAGACTGTTGGAAACAGGTTGTTATTAAAACACCTGCTAACAACAAAGAGTGCCAGGAAGTTCACGCAACATAAGTTGACTGGTTACACCTAATATCAAGCACAAAACAGGGAAATTTGTTTGCAAGTTGCAGTCGACCACGCCCCTATAATGCAATTTGAAGAAATCCTCTGACCCACAGAATAGGTGACTTCATAAGGGGAAAATAACATACATGTATGTTACGTCAACTGAAAATTTTGTGTGAAGAAAAACATAAGCGTATTTTTTTTCTGGAGACTTATATTTCACAGAAACTTGGCGACCTCTTTTTTTCTATTTACCTTGTATGACAGCCACTACCGAGATTATAATGCTGAGACTGTCAGAAATGGTATCAACGAGGACGTGTATCATAAAGACATGCAAAATTTGAAGTTGAATCAGTCTATATAGGCCAACAATTTAGCAAAATAAAGCCCATTTAGAGTCGAGGTAATAGAATCAAATTCTACAAGTGCCAAAACATACCATCAGTATCTGTAAGAACTTCCATTCTGCCACTAAACATTGCTCGTAACATGCTGTCTTGTTTGGAGAGAGTCCCGATTGTAGTGTAGTGAAGAGACCCTCCGACATTCAGTTTCACGTACTTTGTAGGCGAGCCTCTGATCGTTGTTGGTTGGGTCGCATCTCCAGACATTATTGTTTTCTCCGAGGGTTTCCTCTTCAGGCTTTCTTCTAAAGGTGTGAAGTTCTTTGAGGAAAATATTTTGCTGTCTTCGTTTATATACTGCCACGGGCTGCTTCCCAAAATAACTCTTTACCAGGCTCTCATCCTTCGTACACGCTCTAGTATTGCAATGTATGCTGCACGGAAGTGTATCGATCAAGAAAGAAAACTGACCCACTTATTTGCCCATAAAAATTACAGGACATCCCTCACCTAAGCTTCCCTTTTCTACGCCGCTAACTGAAGTCTTTTCTTTCCATTAAAAGGAAGGTAAAGAAGATTCACTATTCCTGGACTATTGAAAATAGGAATTGAGGACAAAACCTTGTTCCCAGCCACTCTTTCTCTCCTCGTAAACAAGCCCGAGCGACACGAGCATCTCCGGCCGTTTCATTCGGAGACACCCGTATCCATGTGTCTGCATCACGTCCTTGCATGATGCATGGGGTGTTTTGACAGTTTTCAAACGAGAAGTTTCCAGGGCTGGGTTGCTCAAAGCTGGGTTAAGATAATTCAGGGTTAGTGCGAAATTTTAACTCAGATATGAGAGCTTAAAAAGCAAATTCAGTTTAATTCACTTTGCCTACAATTTGATTACTGGATACTCTAAAAAGAAAAGAGAAAATTATCCGAGTGAGTGCTTTTCATTAAAAGTAAAAGAAACCCGGGTTAAAATTTAACCCCGGATTAGCGCTAACCGCCTTTCGATCAACTAGGCCCTGAAGAAAGCTTGATGAAGATTTTTCCATAAGTGAACCAACATTGAAATAGGCGGGTCCAGGCGGGTCCAGGGATGGTGTGTTTCCCCACCACAAGCTCATAAATAATCAAAAGTTCAAATGAAGAGAGGGGATTTGCAGAGAATCGTCACGCTAGAAATTGTCACGTGAGTCCCACATGAACAGTCCAATCGACCTCTTGAAATCGCGTCAATCTGATTGGCTAACAAGTCAGCGCCCGCGGCTGAGAACAGCGTGTAAAACCAATCGCTGACACAAATTTTGAAAAAATGTAGGCCAAGTTCAGGAAGTCCCTGCCTTTCGTTCGTCGTTTTAAACATATTTCAGCAAAAGCTGATTATCTTGGCCACTTTTTGCTGAAGAATGGACGATCGACCTTTTCGTTAGTGTTCTATGGAAGAATCTTACAACGCCCGAAGGGGCTGTTTGTTGTGAAATCGCTGTTGTCGTTTTCTTCTTTTATGTGAAAGAATCATTTGTTCGCCATGAGTCGTCTGTGTATGAGGACATTCTTGGAGTCACCTCTCAGCTCTAAGTACCGGTTGCCGATTTCCCCAAGCAGCGCGGTACAGATCAGGGGCAATACTTATATGTTTGGCTCGCAAACGCAAGTGTGGTCCAACGTGAAACAACAGTCTTTAGATGAAGCAGCCTCCAAGGTTTGTCAAGCTTAAAATTTCAAGAATTCTGCTGATGAGGACGTTTTGCACATCCTTGCAACAATTATTCTTTTTTATCGCTGAGATACTTAAGATTTATTGAGTGTTTTGCCTAAAAAATTAAGCAATTTTTTCTCCAACCCTTTGTTTACACTGTGTGCTGAACGTTTTTGTTTTTCTGACATGAATTTAATTTTAAGTTTACCTGTAATTTTATATCTTTTAGTCCTCTATTCGACTTACTCCGTTTCAAATGCTATGGGCCGGTAGATTTAAAGATGGAACGCATTTACTGGTAAGNTTTTCTTCTTTTATGTGAAAGAATCATTTGTTCGCCATGAGTCGTCTGTGTATGAGGACATTCTTGGAGTCACCTCTCAGCTCTAAGTACCTGTTGCCGATTTCCCCAAGCAGCGCGGTTCAGATCAGGGGCAATACTTATATGTTTGGCTCGCAAACGCAAGTGTGGTCCAACGTGAAACAACAGTCTTTAGATGAAGCAGCCTCCAAGGTTTGTCAAGCTTAAAATTTCAAGAATTTTGCTGATGAGGACGTTTTGCACATCCTTGCAACAATTATTCTCTTTTATCGCTGAGATACTTAAGATTTATTGAGTGTTTTGCCTAAAAAATGTAGCAATTTTTTCTCCAACCCTTTGTTTACACTGTGTGCTGAACGTTTTTGTTTTTCTGACATGAATTTAATTTTAAGTTTACCTGTAATTTTATATCTTTTAGTCCTCTATTCGACTTACTCCGTTTCAAATGCTATGGGCCGGTAGATTTAAAGATGGAACGCATTTACTGGTAAGATGATCTGTGTTGCTAAAAAAGTTAGTCAGTTAGTCGCAACAACGTGCAATATCATGTTTCATTCTGCCTTGCTGCTCTGTTTTCGTGACAAACTGTATTAGGGAAGCCTGACACATTATTTGGCTCGTAGCCGTAAAGGGAAAACGAAAAAGAGGAATTTCATTGTTAAACCGTGTAGCACTGTTTAAAGTACATGTACAGTACGTAATTTGTTTCAATTACGATTGGAGAAGGAAAGTTGATTAAAAATTAACATATTGGCAATTTATGACAAAGTTATTTTTGTGCCTAACTCTGTCATATTTGGGGTTTTTCCCTGCGGTTTGCAAATGGATCACTGACGTATTTACAGCTGCTGCAAAACAAAGACCAACTCAAGCTTGACTTAAAGCAGGGGCACTCAATGAAGTTTTCCTCCTAAATACACTGAAAACGCTTTCCTCTAGAATTGCATTCTAAGCAGGTCTGCTAAATTTGTGTAAAATTTGTTTATAATGTTTGGTCATTTTAGGGTAACTTGTGTCTTTCAATGAAATGTAATGTGGTAGCTTAATTTTTCCTTTGTTTACTTTAATTCTTTCTGGAGAGTCCAGCAAGATAAGGCATTAACCCTTTAAACCCCAAGATCAAAATTTGAATTCTCATTTGACGCCCCCTTTCATTTCCTACAGTAGTAGTGGGGAGAAGGTGATAAAATATGAAGTAAATTCATCTTGTGTGATCATGTCCGTAATTCTCATGACCATTCTGTGTTACAAAGCATTGCTATTACAAAGAGAAATTTGATGCTGATCACTCTTGGGGATTAAAGGTTTAATTTCAAGCATTAATTTCATTCCCAAGTTATATGAGTGACCAGGAGATTTATATTCTAAAGACCATGTAATATTTTGCCACAGTTTGTTATTTTTGTTTTTTCATAGAAAGTTAACACTTGTGATAATTTCCTCTTTAAATTTCAGAAGAGTGCTCAGTTTCTTAGGAAAGAATTACCTATTCGCATAGCACGTCGAGTTGTTGACTTTCAAAAACTTCCCCATATTGTACTGTGTAATCCAGTCATCCATGATGTGGTAGGTAAAATTATGATGTTGTGAACTAATGCAACACATTTAATGCATAAATTAATTTTTTGAATAACATTGAAAAAAGCCTCCATGATCGAAAATGCCTACAGTGTACACATTTGATTTGCACTGTCATGGGCATAGCAACTTGTATGCACAAAAACACATTTTCATGTGAAAAAATGTCCAAGATTACTGAAAACAAAACAAAGAAAGAGTAGAAGTGCTGGAAACACTTTCCCCAGTCAGATGTTAGTCTCAGGATTTGCTGCCATCATAGTCTCTCCTTGACACTCCATTGGAGAGACTATGCTGCCATGCTTCAAAAGTACACATGTAGATAAAGTAAAAACTATTCAGCTGAATAATGAGTTGCCACTACATATGACTTGATGCCTTAATTGATGAATACTTGTATGTGTTCTAAATTGCAGTATGAGTTGTACCTTAGAGCTTTCAGTGTGCTTAACAAATTTCCTAAGGTTAGTGCATAACATGCATGTTTTGAATTAATTAGCAGAACAGTAATGTTGCTATATATTTTATTATTTTTTTACGTTTCTTGAACGACTCGTGTTTACACTTGTGTTTACACGTCTAGGATTTTGTCAGACATGGGCCAGTTTCAGTGTCAAATGGCAATTTTAATGATGATGCCAGTATATATTAGTGTTGAAGTGGTAAAAAAATGTTTAAATGTCTTGGATCCTCTCTTTTGGAAAAGGGTCCTTTGTGTTGTTCAGTAGAAGACCCATCAGTTGCCCTCATCAGCCAATCCTAAGAATATACCCTGCAAGGGAGTGGTTTATCACGCAGGAGAGCTTCAATCACATACCATTCTATTATTCAATAATAATAATACTGATATATCTACTCAGGAGATAAGATCACACTGAAAATTTAACCACACAGTTTACACTGTACATGCAATAGTAACTAATAAGAATTATGTAGTATTAAAATATTATTATTATTAATGTTATTATTTTTGCTCTCATCTGAAATGCCTATGTAATGTTGTGACTTTTAGGTGGAAACACTTGAATTAGAGGAGAGATACAATCGTATTATCAGACAGCTCTTGGATGACCATCAGAATGTCGTCACCAACCTTGCAGAGGGATTCCATGAATGTCAGCGGAATGTACCAGTAAGTTGAAGCCACTATCATTTTCACACATGACAGGTTGATTTAAAGGTTAATTTTCATCTTGTTCAGAAGCACTAATGCAGTGTTGGTGACAAGTGGTCAAATAACCTCTAAACAAGGGGGCAAGTTTTTAACCATGCTCCTCCCATGCCCAAATATAATGATTGTAAAAATGGCAATATACACAATTATCCTGTTTTCTATAGACTGCGAGCAGTCCCTCAGGATGGTCATGCGAGCGAGGAAATCAAGCGAAGCGAGTGAAAGCCAAGGGGAAGCTGGGAGGAGGCGGGGAAAGGAGGGAGGGACTGCTCGCAGTGTATGTTTTCCAGTACACTTGCAAATAGAGAGGAGAAATGTGACGTCATTTTACCATTGTAGCAAAATTTCTGGATTACAACAATAGGGAGCTTAACCCATTCGCCCCTGAACCGCCCGTAACCGCCCGTGTGGATCCACGTCCTTTCTACCCTTTGTGACGTCATCAGTTTTAACAGTCAAGGACAACTTTGTCTGCTAACTTGTGCAGAGTGAAGAGATCTTTCAAACCATACCAGAATGAGCACAATTCAGTCAAGGACACCGGAGAAAGAGGCAAAAAACCATGTAACATTGACCTGAAAATCTCCATGAAAATTTTGTTCCATTGCCCACCTACCTTTCCTATCACCTAATCCTATTATCCTAAAAGCTTTCCTAAAAACTATTTTCACCAAAATGAAGCCTACTAAATGCCCAGCAAGAGAAAAAAAAAATGAGGCAAGAAAAGCGAAAAAAGAGGGGAGGAGAGAAAGCGAAAAGTAAAACTCAAGACTGCTGTGTCACTTTTAAACCCAAAAACTATGTCGAAATTTTGCTTTCTGCGCATGCCCGAACTTCGCAAGCTGATATTTTGCATCTGAATCAGAAGGCCATGAAGTGTACAACCTGTAAACCGGTTTGTGGTAAGATTTAGCTCTTTATAGCACGACAGTGACCAGAAAACCACTCAACTAGCTTCAAAACGTGTTTTTCGGCAAAATCTCCAGGAGCGAATGGGTTAAGGACAATGACGGCAATTGCAATGAGAACAGCGAAAAAGCAATAGGATTAGATAAGCAAAACAACAACTTAGCAGGTGCATTGATCACACTTTTTTGTACATTTCTTAGCCGTCGTTGCACGACTGCTACATGAAACTTCCTTATTTCACGCACCCGCTTAATGGAGTAGGTGAACACAACACAAAAATATTCCTTAACTTAGATATTGTCCTTTAGAATTTAACTTGAGAATATTACGCCAACATTTGACAATTAGATTAAACTGAATAAGGTCGATGTAGTTTGAAACAGTGCAAATTCAATTTTTACGCGATGTTTTTGGTTTGTTGTCATCCAGATATTTTGCTACCATGGCAACTTGATGTAATGACTCCTCTCTAGTAAAGGTTTCCTTGACCATTGAGTATCAAAATTATATTAACATTTACATCTGTATCACATTCATCTGCATGCAGTGATTTTGTTACCTCCACGTCCTGCATCCCTGACGCATAAAAATCCCTAAAGATGCAAAACAATTCATAACATGGGTCCCAAAGGATGCAAAAGTCAGTCAATCAATCTGAAGATGTTTTTGTAGAATATCCTGTTCGTGTGATTTCTGTGGCTGTTCTTGAGGCTATTGTTTAACAGCGCATATTTCTTTTAGTCTTTGTTGTGCTTTACAATAGAAGGAGTATATTTTTATTTCATTAAACTGTAATACAGGGACTCACTAGTTGTGCACCAGGACTCACGATTTTTCACAAGATGAGTCCCAGGACTCACCAGAACTAATAATATATTGTAACAAAATCACTGTGCATGCTATACACATTGTGAAAGAAAAAGCTAGGATATGTAATTTTTCTTTTTGTTGATGTTTATTTACTTATTTAGTATACTTTTTTGTTCTTATTAATTTTGTTTCCAGTATGAAACAATAGATGCATTTCTTAATCGTACCCTGACATCACGTCTTGGAATCCGTATGTTGGCAGAACATCATCTTGCTCTTAGCATCGACAAGGTAAAGTTGTACCATGCTTTTATCCTCAGGAAAACTTCCAGTGGAGTGTTGTTGTACAAATTAAATAAAAGTGACTGTTAAGGAGAGGTTTTCTGTAGCATAGAAAAATTCAAGGTAGTAGATCACAGACAATGAGAGGGAAACAATGTCTACATGGGAGACTGTCTGAAGGTAGTGGTTATAACCTCACCTTAGATTATTGTTTTGTCAGGCACTGTCTAACTGGCCACTTTTTTGTTTACATTTTAGCCAAACTACATAGGGATTGTCTGTACCCATCTGAACTTTAGACAAATTGTTGAAAGATGCAGTGACTTTGCAAGGTATACTCTCTGATAACTTATTTCTTTTCAAGCCTCACAGTCCCTACTTGAAATATTTTTTAATGTTGAATTTAATTGTGAATGAAAGTATTAATAAAGACACTCCTGCTCAGTATCAAGTGGCTACTGATGTTATTCTTACACATAACACAAGCATACTGTGTGAACATTGGTTTAAGGAAAAAGGAATCATTCAAATATTCCTTTCACTTCTTATAATAATAATGTGTTGATTATCGAAATGTCACTTAATGTGGCTTTTAATTACGGGTACCAGAAAACTCTTCTATTTAGGGAGGTATATCACTACAAAAGTTCTTACTTGAAAACTTTGGCAAAAAAAGCATTCACAATAGGCGGTGAATGTAATGTCATAGTGCAAGATAGCGAACCAATCAGATTGCTTGAATCACCAAGATCACCGAGATAAATCTATTCTCTCCAAATAATAATCAACATATTATCATTATAATATGACAGCTAGTGTATTAAAACCTTAGCCTAACTTAGTGTTTTTCATTGCAGGCAAGTGTGTGAGCACACATATGGTATAGCACCAGGCCTTATTGTCAATGGTCATACACAAGCAGTCTTTCCATACATTCCTGCACCATTAGAGTACATCCTTCAAGAACTTCTGAAGAATGCTATGAGGTACAGACTGCTCACCCATCTGAGTAAAGGCAATTTTATTTAGAATAGTGTGTGTTACATAGAAGCTGGTTGGGGTTCACTGTTTTTGTGGCCACCTTCCAACACCCCTCAATCTGTGCACAGGTATCCCAATATGAACGCACCTACCGGTAATCTTAATTGACAATAAACCTACCCTGTTTCAGATTCAAAATGAAGTAAAATATACCCCTCTTCCAGAGATAAAGAGTGGTTTTGTATACCCTGTTCCAAAGTCAGAGAGGGAAAAAGCATTCCAAGTTGAGCGGCAAATACCCATACAGTCCATACATAATTTATATTTGAGAACAACCACCACACCCCCAAAGCCTTTGCACATGGGTCATATTATATGGGCAAAAAAACATTTGCCTGTCAGAAAAGTCTACTTGTCCCAGATGATCAGGTGGGACTTTTTTCGAACCTTAAATGCTACGGTTCTTTGACCACTTCCAGTACCCTTCACCCCTAAGTCCAATGAAACCTATAATCCATATTTAATTGAAAAAAATCGACCCTGACCCAAAGCATTTTAGTGATGGACTTTAAACATCAAAATAGAATGGTACTGTTTGTGACTTTATAATGAGATATCGGTGTGGTTTCATATCCAGAGCCAGTGTGGAGCATCATCTGGACAGACCTCTGGAAGTACCAAACATTGTTGTTACACTATGTAGTAACGATACAGACTTCTATGTAAGGTAAAAATACCATCTTGTTGATGTTGATGACCACAAAATTATTCTTTTATAACAAATTGTATTTCATTTTCTGGAAATATTACCCTGGGAGCAGAGAAAGGAAGAGCGAAGGAGACTCTGCTTACGGGGTAGGAAAAATACATCTCCCCATTTTTCTTAACCTCTACTATTTCCTCATAAAATGTGCTGAAAACATAGGAGATCTGCTTCCCCTTTGAATATGAGCGGTGAAGGATTTTGTATCAAAGGTTAGTTCTACTGTTTGAAATTTCCTCAACCCAGTTGATTTGCACTGCTGTATTGGGGTATACAAGAACATACACGTGGCTCAAACACTTCCTATTGATTGGTCATAATAATAGTTTGATGAACAGTTGAGTTCAAGATATAAAATTCAACCTAAAAAAGTGACTGATGAAAGCAACTTCTGAATGTTCTCAGGTTAATATTTCATGAGCCCTGAGTTATTTGCAGAAATTTTTGACAGTGGTTAAGTCAACTTAAAAATTCTTTTACAAGCAATAAGCCTTTGGACTTAAGTGGCCCTACCAATAGACAAGAATTTTGTTAACAAAATAACAATTTTTGTTCCCCTCAGGGTTTCAGATCGTGGAGGTGGTATTCCCGAGTCCAAGCTCCAAGACATATTTAAGTATTCCTACACCACCATGGGTGATCGCAGCACCATAAGACCCTCTGATGACCCCAACATCTTCTCTGTTTTGTTTTTCTGACATGAATTTAATTTTAAGTTTACCTGTAATTTTATATCTTTTAGTCCTCTATTCGACTTACTCCGTTTCAAATGCTATGGGCCGGTAGATTTAAAGATGGAACGCATTTACTGGTAAGGTGATCTTTGTTGCTAAAAGGTTAGTCAGTTAGTCGCAACAACGTGCAATATCATGTTTCATTCTGCCTTGCTGCTCTGTTTCCGTGACAAACTGTATTTGGGAAGCCTGACACATTATTTGGCTCGTAGCCGTAAAGGGAAAACGAGGAATTTCATTGGTGAATCGTGTAGCACTGTTTATAGTACATGTACAGTAGGTAATTTTTTGAATTACGTTTGGAAAAGGAAAGTTGATTAAAAATTAACATATTGGCAATTTATGACAAAGTTATTTTTGTGCCTAGCTCTGTCATATTTGGGGTTTTTCCCTGCGGTTTGCAAATGGGTCACTGACGTATTTACAGCTGCTGTGGGCACCCAATGAAGGTTTTCTCCTACATACACTGAAAACTCTTTTCTCTAGAAATGGATTCTAATCAGCTCCAAAAAAAATTGTGTAAAATTGGTTTATAATGTTTGGTCATTTTAGGGTAACTTGTGTCTTTCAGTCAAATGTAGTGTAGTAGCTTAATTTTTCCTTTGTTTACTTTAATTTTTTCTGGCGAGGCCAGCAAGAAAAAGCATTAACCCTTTAAACCCCAAGATCAAAATTTGAATTCTCATTTGTTGCCCCCATTCATTTCCTACAGCAGTAGTGGGGAGAAGGTGATAAAATGTCAAGTAAATTCATCTTGTGTGATCATGTGTGTAATTCTCATGACCACTCTGTTTTACAAAGCATTGCTATTACAAGGAGAAATTTGATGCTGATCACTCTTGGGGATTAAAGGGTTTAATTTCAAGCATTAATTTCATTCCCAAGTTATATGAGTGACCAGGAGATTTATATTCTAAAGACCATGTAATATTTTGCCACAGTTTGTTATTTTTGTTTTTTTATAGAAGTTAACACTTGTGATAATTTCCTCTTTAAATTTCAGAAAAGTGCTCAGTTTCTTAGGAAAGAATTACCTATTCGCATAGCACGTCGAGTTGTTGACTTTCAAAAACTTCCCCATATTGTACTGTGTAATCCAGTCATCCATGATGTGGTAGGTAAAATTACGATGTAGTGAACTAATGCAACACATTTACTGCATAAATTAATTTTTTGAATAACAGAGAAAAAAGCATCCATGATCTAAAATGCATACAGTGTACACATTGATTGCACTGTCATGGGCATAGCAACTTGTATGCACAAAAACACATTTTCGTGTGAAAAACTGTCAAAGATTACTGAAAACAAAACAAAGAAAGAGTAGAAGTGCTGGAAACACTTTCCACAGTCAGATGTTAGTCTCAGGATTTGCTGCCATCATAGTCTCTCCTTGACACCCTGTTGGAGAGACTATGGTGCCATGCTTCAAAAGTACATATGTAGATAAAGTAAAAACTATTTAGTTCAATAATGAGGTTGCCACTACATATCACTTGATGCCTTAATTTATGAATACTTGTATATGTTCTAAATTGCAGTATGAGTTGTACCTTAGAGCTTTCAGTGTGCTTAACAAATTTCCCAAGGTTAGTGCATAACATGCATGTTTTGAATTAATTAGCAGAACAGTAATGTTGCTATATATTTTATTATTTTTTTACGTTTCTTGAACGACTCGTGTTTACACTTGTGTTTACACATCTAGGATTTTGTCGGACATGGGCCAGTTTCAGTGTCAAATGGCAATTTTAATGATGCCAGTATATATTAGTGTTGAAGTGGTAAGAAAATGTTTAAATGTCTTGGATCCTCTCTTTTGGAAAAGGGTCCTTTGTGTTGTTCAGTAGAAGACCCATCAGTTGCCCTCATCAGCCAATCCTGAGAATATACCCTGCAAGGAAGTGGTTTATCACGCAGGAGAGCTTCAATTGCATACCATTCTATTATTCAATAATAATAATACAGATATATCTACTCAGGAGATATGATCACACTGAAAATGTAACCACAAAGTTTACACTGTACATGTAATAGTAACTAATAAGAATTAAATAGTATTAAAATATTATTATTATTAATATTATTGTTTTTGCTCTCATCTGAAATGCCTATGTAATGTTGTGACTTTTAGGTGGAAACACTTGAATTAGAGGAGAGATACAATCGTATCATCAGACAGCTCTTGGATGACCATCAGAATGTCGTCACCAACCTTGCAGAGGGATTCCATGAATGTCAGCGAAATGTACCAGTAAGTTGAAGCCACTATCATTTTCACACATGACAGGTTGATTTAAAGGTTAATTTTCATCTTGTTCAGAATCACCAATACAGTGTTGGTGACAAGTGGTCAAATAACCTCTAAACAAGGGGGTAAGTTTTTAACCATGCTCCTCCCACGCCCAAATATAATGATTGTAAAAATGGCAATGTACACAATTATCCTGTTTTCCATAGACTGCGAGCAGTCCCTCAGGATGGTCATGCGAGCGAGGAAATTGAGCGAAGCGAGTGAAAGCCAAGGGGAAGCTGGGAGGAGGGAGGGACTGCTCGCAGTCTATGTTTTCCAGTACACTTGCAAATAGAGAGGAGAAGTGTGACTTCATGTTACCACTGTAGCAAAATTTCTGGATTACAATAATAGGGAGCTTAAGGACAATGACGGCAATGGCAATGAGAACAGCGAAAAAGCATAGGATTAGATAAGCAAAACAACAACTTAGCAGGTGCATTGATCACACTTTTTTGTACATTTCTTAGCCGTCGTTGCACGACTGCTACATGAAACTTCCTAATTTCACGCACCCGCTTAATGGAGTAGGTGAACACAGCACAGAAAAATATTCCTTAACTTAGATATTGTCCTTTAGAATATTACGCCAACATTTGAAAATTAGATGAAACTGAATAAGGTCGATCTATACTGTAGTTTGAAACAGTGCAATTTCAATTTTTAAGTGACGTTTTTGGTTTGTTGTCATCCAGATATTTTGCTACCATGGCAGTGTGATGTAATGACTTCTATCTATTACAGGTTTCCTTGACCATTGAGTATCAAAATTATATGAACATTTAGATCTGTATCACATTCATCTGCATGCAGTGATTTTGTTACCTCCACGTCCTGCATCCTTGATGCATAAAAATCGCCAAAGATGCAGAACAATTCATGACATGGGTCCCAAAGGACGCAAAAATCGGTCGATCAATCTGAAGATGTTTTTGTAGAATATCCTGTTCGTGTGATTTCTGTGGCTGTTCTTGAGCCTATTGTTTAACAGCGCATATTTCTTTTAGTCTTTGTTGTGTTTTACAATAGAAGGAGTATATTTTTATTTCATTTAACTGTAATACAGGGACTCATTAGTTCTGCACCGGGACTCGCAATTTTTCACAAGATGAGTCCCAGGACTCACCATAACTAATTGTAACAAAATCACTGTGCATGCTATACACATTGTGAAAGAAAAAGCTAGGATATGTTTTTTTTCCTTTTTTTTGATGTTTATTTACTTACTTCATTTACTTTTTTGTTCCTATTAATTTTGTTTCCAGTATGAAACAATAGATGCATTTCTTAATCGTACCCTGACATCACGTCTTGGAATCCGTATGTTGGCAGAACATCATCTTGCTCTTAGCATCGACAAGGTAAAGTTGTCCCATGCTTTCATCCTCAGGAAAACTTCCAGTGCAGTGTTGTTGCACAAAAGTGAGTGTTAAGAAGAGGTTTTCTGTAGCATAGAAAAATTCAAGGTAGCAGATCACAGACAATGAGAGGAAAACAATGTGTACATGGGAGACTGTCTGTAGATAGTGGTTATAACCTCACCCCTTGATTATTGTTTTGTCATGCCTTGTCTAACTGGCCACTTTTTTGTTTACATTTCAGCCAAACTACATAGGGATTGTCTGTACCCATCTTAACTTTAGACAACTTGTTGAAAGATGCAGTGACTTTGCAAGGTATTCTCTCTGATAACTTATTTTTTTTCAAGCCTCAAAGTCCCTACTTGAAATATTTTTTGATGACAAGATCAGGATAATGAAATAATGTTAAATTGAATTGTGAATGAAAGTATTAAGACACTCCTACTCAGTATCAAGTGGCTACTGATGTTATCCTTACACAAGAAAACAAGCATACTGTGTGAATGTTGGTTTAAGGAAAAGGGAATCATTCAAATATTCCTGTCACTTCTTATAATAATAATGTGTTGATTGTTCAAAATGTCACTTAATAATGTGGCTTTTAATTACTGGTACCAGAAAATGCCTCTATTTAGGGAGGTATATCACTACGAAAGTTCTTACTTGAACACTTTGGCAAACACTGCATTCACACTAGTGATTTTGTTTTGGTTGATATTCACCATGCTAGGCAGTGAATGTAATGTCATAGTGCGAGAAAGCAAACCAATCAGATTGCTTGAATCACCATGATCACCAAGATAAATCTATATGTTCTCTCCAAAAAAATAATAATATTATCATTATATAAATATGGAAGCTAGTGTTTTAAAACCTTAGCCTAACTTAGTGTTTTTCATTGCAGGCAAGTGTGTGAGCACACGTATGGTATAGCACCAGGCCTTATTGTCAATGGTCATACACAAGCAGTCTTTCCCTACATTCCTGCACCATTAGAGTACATCCTTCAAGAACTTCTGAAGAATGCTATGAGGTACAGACTGCTCACCCATCTTAGTAAAAGTAATTTTATTTAGTGTGTGTTACATAGAAGCTGGTTGGGGTTAACTTTTTTTGTGGCCACCTTCCAACACCCCTCAATCTGTGTACAGGTATCCCAATAGTGCACCTAATCTTAATGGACAATAAATCTACCATGTTCCAGATTCAAAATGAAGTAAACTATACCCTCTTCCAGAGATAAAGAGTGGTTTTGTATACCCTGTTCCAGAGTCAGAGAGGGAAAAAGCATTCCAAGTTGAGCGGCAAATACCCATACAGCCCATACATATATTTGAGAACAACCACCCCACCCCCAAAGCCTTTGCTTATTGGTCATATTATATGGGCAAAAAAACATTTGCCTGTCAGAAAAGTCTTCTTGTCCCAGATTATCAGGTGGGACTTTTTTCGAACCTTAAATGCTACGGTTCTTTGACCACTCCCAGTACCCTTCACCCCTAAGTCCAATGAAACTGAAATATCAAAACCTATAATCCATATTTAATTGAAAAAAAGCAACCTTGACCCAAAGGATTTTAGTGATGGACTTGAAACATCAACATAGATTTACAGTTTGTGTCTGTACAATGAAATACACTGCATCTGTGTGATTTCGTATCCAGAGCCAGTGTGGAGCATCATCTTGACAGACCTCTGGAAGTACCCAACATAGTTGTTACACTATGCAGTAATGATACAGACTTCTATGTGAGGTAAAAATACCGTCTCGTTGGTGTTGATGACCACAATATTATTCTTTTATAACAAAGTATATTTCATTTTCTGGAAAAATAAATGTCCCCATTTTCTTAACCACTAGTATTTCCTCATAAAATGTGCTAATAACATAAGAGATCTATCTGCTTCCCCTTTGAATATGATCTGTGAAGGATTTTGTATCAAGGGTTAATTCTGCTGTTTGAAATTTCCTTAACCCAGTTGATTTGCACTGCTGTATTGGGGTGTACATGGGCATACACATGGCTCAAATACTTCCTATTGTTTGGTCACAATTTTGATGAACAGTTGACGAGTTCAACATATAAAATTCAACCTAAAAAAGGGACTTTTGAAAACAACTACTTAATGTTCTCAGGTTAATATTTCATGAGCCCTGAGTTATTTGCAGGAATTTTTGACAGTGGTTAAGTGAACTTAAAAGTCCTTTTACAACCACATGACGTAAGTGACCCTACCAATAGACAATAATTTTGTTAACAAAATAACAATTTTTGCTCCCCTCAGGGTTTCAGATCGTGGAGGTGGTATTCCCGAGTCCAAGCTCCAAGACATATTTAAGTATTCCTACACCACCATGGGTGATCGCAGCACCATAAGACCCTCTGATGACCCCAACATCTTCTCTGATTTATGCAAAGGACATCCGAACAATTCACCCAGCGGCGGGCCAATGGCAGGCTGGGGATTTGGACTGCCTACTTCACGAGCATATGCTACATACCTCGGAGGCTCACTCGAACTGCAATCCTTGGAGGGCCTGGGCACTGATGTTTATTTGCGGCTGAGGCACATTGATGGGAAGAAAGAGAGCTTTCGAATCTAAATCAGATACATTATATATGTTCAGTGAATTTACAATGTATGTAGAAATGTTATGTTGAAGGTTGCTTGTGTCATTTATGACACAAGCAACCTCAAGTCAAAGGAAGCTTGTGGAGACAGATGATGAACACTAATTTAGAGATTTTAATGAAAATATCATAAAAGTGTTATTACAGTTTTTCTGTGTAACTAAAACAAAGGTAATATATAATCGTGTCCTTTCTTGATGTTATCTTTTTTGTTCTTTGTTTGCTTGTTTGTTCGTTTGTTTTTTTTTGTAAATAGTTCCTTGAAAGTACAGAAGTTAAAAGCATAAAGTGAACTAAGAGAGGATAAGTGGGATAAAAACCTTTAAATTCCTGTGTCCGCATTTCTCCAGATGTTGTACCTTTGTAGTAATCTATAATCTAACACCAACCGAACAAATTACTCTGTAGTTTTCCTCTGTATGGTTGTTGTACACACACATCAGTACACGCCTAGACTTGATTTCCTCACGAATAATCAGTTTAGCTAGCTCTATTGAGCTATACTGATGCATCCACTTAGTGTATGGATTGACTTAACAGAGTAAGCAGTCTTGGTATGTAAGAGATCCAAGTTACTAGCCCAAAACTCAAACTTCGCTGGATAATGTTAAGTAGTAAGACTTGAAGCCGATGAGATTGTAGAATGGTTTAAATGTTTATTTACATGTACTGTAGGTGACAGCTTACGTACAGTGTAGAGGTTGTTAATTTGTAAGTAACATGGTGTGATGGTTTTCTTTTTGTGAGGGAGAGGGGTTGCCAAAGACAAGAGTAGTTGGGTGTGGTTCGCCATATTGTATTTATCATTGTTAACGTTCTCAAACATAAATTAAGAAAACGTTACTATCAGGTAATTATTTTATGTGAAAGCAAAGCTTATTACATTTCGATCATTGAAGGTTGGAAAATCAAAATCGAAAGATCCAGATTCGAAAGTTATTTTGAGAAACAGGGTTAGTCCCTTAATTTATTTTATTTTCAATTTTCGTAGCATTTACGATAGATCAAACTACTGGAATATGTGCATCGAAAAAATTGTTGATGTCTGCATTACGTATATTGGGCAGAACGTTGTAGAAGCAGACTGCAGGTTAACGAGTGTAAAATCACGCAGCCGACCTTATAGCGATTAGTTTACTTGATCACATAGCAAATCATTGTATGTGTAAGCAAATACGTAATTATTACAAAGTAAGTAACTGAAATATTCATCAATGTTATTTTATACTCAAATTTTTATGTGAAAGAAAATACGAAAGTGATGGGTAAATCATACGAACAATATTTAAAGAAGTCTTTAAACAGCATACGTATAATTTTTTTAACAAAATATTTATCTCCTTTATTGTTAATTATCTAATCATGAGGCAATGCTGGTAATAACGTCAATAAAAGAGCATTATTCTCCTTAGAGCAGAATTTTTTAGCGATTTAACGTTAAAGACACGACACTGTAAATTTGATATTGTCCCTTGAAATTAAATTTAACCGTGGCTCATGGCGCAATCACGAAAGGTTATTTCCAACGTGTAAAATTGTTATTTTATAGAACAGAGCCTTTCTCGTCAAGTTTGACATAGGTCTAACGCAATCGGAACAAAGGTTTTTTTAAAGGCTCATTGTTTTAATATTCACATAGTTTTAGTTTAAGATAATAATTGGAGTATTAGTTGTCCTAGTTGTTTGAGTAGTTTCTCGCAAATGAACCTTAAATCATGGGAATATATATGAAACGATAAACCCTATCTCCGGCACAAAACGAGTGTTCAACGCATTAACTGCTACAGGATGGATGGAAAATTTTCATTGATAAGATCTCTCAGCCGCTAAATGGCCATTATATGTCGAATGGCTACAACTACCAGAATGCATTTCGTGTTTCCTCCCCTGTTATATAATAGGCCATAGCTACTAAACGCGTGAAATAGGTACTAAACGGTACTAAACGTTTTCTAGGTCTTTTTAAAGGTTTTCTAAAACAAAAACAACAACAAAGATTTGTACCAAAACAACAAAGCCATAAGGCAAAATAAAAACCGATTAACTTCCAGCGGCTAGAACGAGAAACTTTTTGGGTTCGCCAAAGACGGCAACTGAAAATATATAACCAAGCAATGAGACAAGAAGAGAACGTCAATTAACTTCTAACGGCTGAAGCAAGAAACCTTTTGGGTTTCGCTCAAAACAACAACAACACTAACAAAAAGGCCATGAAGCAAATAGAGAAGGTCAAATAATTTCTGAGTTTTGCTAAAACAACAGCAAAATATACGCAAGCAAGCGAACGCATAAGCCAAATAGCAATATGTAAGATATGGCAAGTCAGGCAGACAAAAACAACACGTACCTGTAAAAACCCCAACGGGATAGCAGCATGCTTGTAAAGCACATTCAAGTAACACTGCATTCAAAAAATTTAAGCCGCAAGCAGAACAAACTTCGGACCAAGGAAGTATCAAACCACAGACTTAAAATCCGCCTACAGGAAGCAGACTCCGGAATATATAGGACAAACAAAGTGCAAAAACATGACTGCTATCATACCGAAGAGCCGGGCAATATTAGTTAGAGAAAAAAAACAAAGCCAAAAAATCCAAAAGCAGACACGGGATCCAAAGGAAAGGAATGGCTGTAAAGGAAAACCATCACCTGAAAGACAAAACGATATCGTAAGAACAAATGCAGGAAAAACGCGGCTCAAGGGATAGCATTCCCAAGCGCCAGTAATCCGACAGGGACTTTTAGAATCCCTTGTAACACTGAAATCCCAGGTGCGGTTGAAGGTAAAAGGTAAATATGACAAAAAATAATTTGAATAAACAACCAGAGCAAAAATAACACTGAGAATATATTACCAATGAGCGAAATAAGAAAACAAAAAACAGAAGCAAGAGAGAAAAGCAAAATACCAACCTTGAAATTAATGGGTGACCGGACCGAATTTCGAACACGTGGAAACCTGGACGTGCTTGCAAACCGAAATACTTACCAACAGCTGCTAAAGCGACGACCTGAAAATTAAAAAAGGTGGGGACAAAAACAGGAGGAAGAGAAGATGGGGCGAAAGCCGCGAGCCAGTAAATTGATGACGAGGAGGTGGAGAGCTCGTTTAATGAAGACATGATGAGATACTTGAGTCTTCTCTCGAAAATGGTAATGAATGCATGGTGTATGTGCATTTTATAGTCGACCGGGCAAGACCGCTGAAAATAGTAGTCAAACGTCGTCATCGTGCAATTCGCTTATTCTAGCAAGACATGTATAGTAGCAAGTTTTATTACCAGCCACAATCGCCCCAATTTGCGCAAGAGAACAAAATCCTTTAGGGCGTTCTGGTATTTCTAGTCAACTGACGGAAACGTGCAACTTTTCCAGTCTTCGTATAAACCTGGAATCCTCGTCCGGCGTACTGTGCATGCTGGCTTGACGAAGCGTCAAGACGGGTCGAATGGAGACGCTGGGTACGAGGGTGACAACTTTTCATGTTCGTGTGCGCGTGATTCATTTATCTCAATTCAGCCTGCTAGCAAACTCTCCATTCCAGGGTCACCATTTATGACGAGGAAAACGAGACGCGAGGAGGAGCTATCGTGCCTCCTTTCACGTGCTGCTTTTACGTGACTTCTCTTAATTCCCCTAAATGGAGAGATCGCTAGGAGGCTAATCTCAAATTTCCACCCACATTTAATTTTATCCACGGTAGCAAACTCAACCAGAGGCCAGAGATCATTTCCTTTCACAACTACTGAAATTATTTTAGTATCTTTTCCGTATCAGATTTAACGTTTTATGTTCCCTGATTTGGGATGTTTTTAAGCAGAGAAGAACACTGCGTGATTTTTGAGGAAGCAAGGAAAATCAGGCCATCCGCCTCCTCAAAAGAGGTACAGTCACACCTCTTTAATATGGAGACCAAAGGGACAGAAGCAACTGTCCGCTTTACAGAGGTAAGGGGTAGGTAGGGGATTTTTGGCATTTCTGGGGCCAAACGAACTGTCCGTAATAGAGAGGTGTCCGCAAGGGGAGGTTTGACTGTAGAGAGATCAAGCTAAGCGTTTACGGCAAACGGCAAACGTGAGATTAAAGATAAGAAATTTTCAAAATGAGAAATCTGAGCAGATAAAAACAGCTTAAAATAACTCTTATGGATAGAATTGGCGTGAATCTACCGATTTTCGTGTAGTTATAATGAACGGTAAACGACAAGTAAAGGAGAAACTTGGTCACATGTATGGTACAAATTCACGTTTGACGTAGTCTATCAGCTAACACTTTTCTCATAAAATACCATTTGAAAAAGCCAGATTTTCTGCTTTGACTGATTTAGCTTTCTTGGTAACAGCAAGTTAACTCTTGGGTGTAATAATCTTTTTCGGTCAAGTGGTTTTTGTGCAAAAAAAAAGGGTAGTTTGCTTGGGAAGTACGCGGAAGTGTTATAAAAAAATTGCGCACGTAAAACTGGTCTTCTGTCTTGATCATGAGAACAAATTTTATTTTGCATTATTTTTAGTTAACTTTTTACCTATTATCTAATCGTTAATCGGCGTATAATATGGAAGATGTATATGTATTATACTAGGATTCACTTTATCATCATATGTCATCATTGCATGATAGATTTCCAAATGAGTGAATTTCGTAAAAACTTTGACACTTAGGTATTGATTGCTTTAACATATATAAAACGACTGATTATAAAGCTGATCTCTGAATGGCTGTTTCTTATGACAGTGATGTCAACATTTATCGCTGAGGAACTTTTCTTTTGTCTTACAAAGTTTGGGGTTATTTGCAAGTGATAACTAAATCAATGGCTGAAAGAGAATGCAAATTAAGCGAGTGAAAAAGGTCTTAGAAGTACATAATTCAGGGTGATATTCGTCGCGATATTTGACGACAAATTCCTGGAAGTGTTTGCCTGACCTCTGATGCCATTGATGATCCACAGGAACAAAAATTACACATATTTGCACTGACGTAACAACGAGTGTCAGTGAAGTGTTTGCATTCAGTTGAATGACCATTACGCTAGAAAGAGCGGGAACAAAGCAGATTTCGTACGTCATTACAGTGCGAAAAATTGGCTGTCAACAGATGTGACAGCGCACAGGAAGAGATTTTCTTTATTTTCATCTGCCTCCGGTCACAGCATACCGTTCTTCGAGTAAAAGTTCACGGATTATTGCGAATACAAATCGCGTGCTATGGCGTACTCTCCAACTGGAGAGATTTTTAACGCTAGTGATCAGCGCAGATTTGAGAATATGATGAAGTTGCTGCTGTTTCTTGAAGCAGAGCTCCAACTCAAAGAGGAGATTATCGATCTGTTGCTGGTTTGTATTGTACAGTTTTGATATTATTTTTATCTTGTTTATCTTAAAGTAGTTAAAGTATACACAGTATTACCGATCGCGCGCTTCGAGCGAGCCACAGAAGAAACCTTGATACTCCATGTTGTACATTGAAGAGTTCAAGATTCCTTCAATCATGAACGTGTTATTTCAGACGGATATCACTCTTTGGCGCTCCTTTTTCCCTATTATCTTGCCATTAAATAGTTTTCCGCTTCGTTCATCGCCGTTCGAGTTTCGAGATTTTTTTCACCACTCCGGTCACGTAAGTACAACAGACCTTACTGTTCCATGATCGTTCGAAAACATACAATCGAACACGCCGTGTATAACTTTGCGAAACAAAACCACCAGTTTACATTCATAATTTATTAACCTCGTCTCAGTATTCTCAGTGAAGGGCATCAATATTTCGATCTTTCTTAGATGTTGTATACACCGAATAGTCAACTAAGTTAACTGAGACTTGCCGATGGTGGCTTGACTCGATATATACCGGTACTTAAACGCGAGACTTTGACGCATGCATTGCGTAAGTTATTTTCTTACGACTCACGGGTAGATTTCAATTAAGAACAAACATGAATCTTGGGTGCTCAATAAACCTCAGGTGTATGTTCTTCCAGGCTATGAAGACCTTATTTGCGGCAAGATAACGAGATTTCATCATAAACCACGCGATATTAAAAGCCCATCAAATCGATGCTCTCACCCTCGCACGAAACGTGGAAAATTTTATGCATAGATTTTGTTTCTATTATTTGAGTAGTATTGCAGTAGGTGATTGCTTCCTATCGCCAATTTAGGAGAACCTTTGTCTTCCTCGGACTTTAAATTTCGGAGATTGCAAGGTTTTTCTACAAATCCACCACCGTCGCATTGACCTCGCCGGTAGATCTCGCTTTGTTGGTACAGGCGATAAATAAGATTACTTTAATATACGGTTTAGTATTACCCCGATTTGTCGAAGTTGTTCTCGACAAAATGTCATAACAGTTTTGTCATCTTGTCATCTGTATCTAGACAGCACTTTAAAAGCTCTTGCACAGCGAATTAAAAAAACATGACCAAATTTATAGTTTACAAAAGGAGTTTTTCCAAACTTTGGACAAACATTGTATTTTACCTCAAGAGTTTTGAAACAATGCCGAAATATACCGCCCGGCTTTTCACAGTGTTCTTAAGGAATGAACTTGTCCTTTTCGGAACTTAACAGCGGGGGATAAATATAAAATAAAATCTACATATATACATGTCGGCATGTTTTTTTTTTTCAAACAGATTCGAATATGAAACGAATATATTGAAAAGACCATGTGCTTTTGGGACGCCGTTATTGTGCCCAAAATATACACAAACCATCTGGAATAAGCTATTGTTTTAAAATTATCTAATGTCAATTTTTAACGGTTAAGCACAGGTCATTTTTGAGACATCTGATGAATTTTTTTAATTTTTTCTTTTCTACGATTAAGCGGCTTTGAATAAATCTTATTTCGTCTAAAGATACGTCTGCTGGGGTTACATTCCCATATTTTAAATGCTTTCCAGACTGTCCGGTGACAGCAGAGGTTATCCTTTTAAGACCTTTATATAATTTTGTTTTCTTAGCTTTGAACTAAAGGTCTTGTGGTATAATTTTCCTTCGATCTATTTTACACTGATTTACTGATCTCACAGCTGTATTCAATATTGACACCACGCGATCTTTATAATCTACCCCATTGCACTCTGATAACGGGCATTGTAGTGAACCTCCGTATAAACGTGTTGCAGATCGAAGTTCAGGTTATCGGGATGAGGGTACCGATTATTGTAAAAAAACGTTTTTCCTTTTTTTGGCTCCATTTCATCGAAGCACAATCTGTTAAAAAAAAACCTAGCTAATACATTTCCGGGTATGATAGTTACGTTGTGTGGAACGGATTTGTCGTATGTTTAGTGTCACCTTTGTCTTGAGGTCATGTAATTTTTGTGCCATCTATCAAAAGTGGTTGGGATACTCTGAAAACTAGAGCCTATACCGATCGCTTCCTACCTAGCCTCCCACGCAGACGTTCTTAGGGGTTGGGGGCAGGAACGCGTAACGAACTTCTAAGAACGTCTGCGTGGGAGGCCACTTCCTACCTATCATCCGTGTACTTTCGGATTCATCTTTCGCGCCAAAAAACCACTTGAGCCAATCAGAGTAGAGTAGGATTTTGAATAGCCACAGCCGTATTTTGCGTTGGCCGTGCTATTCTGAGTATTTTTTTGCCTGATCTATTTTGATTTATTGTGTTTTTGGTAAACGTTTTTTCAGTTGGCAAATAAAATGGTTGGTTGTTGTTGTTGTTGCTAGTTTTCGTGAAACATAAATTCTGGAGCGAGGAAAAGGGAGAGCGATAAGGTATCGGGGAGAAACGCTAAAATATACGTTTCGTTTCACCACTTAACTTCTTTCGGCGGTTCGCGCTTGTTCGTGCAGCGGTGACTTTTAAGAGAAAGAAACCTACCGTTTGCTGTTTAGACTGCGAGAAATGGTGAATGAGATAAGCGAAGTTTCAAACAGAAAGCCTCGGCTGGTTGAGGAACCTTGAAGCCCTTGAAAGTGATTACAAAGGAGCCTAGAAGTTCTACTGTCATTTTGAATTGCGCGGACGTTTGTGGAGACATTAAATATATAATTAGACTGCACCTAACGCACCTTGATTCGACCTTTCGGCTCCTGCTAGTTACAAAAACAAAGTCATAACATTAATATTGACGGCGGAGGGTTCGGGTACCTGCAAATGGAGGGCAGATAACTTTTTTTTAAAGTGTCCTCAACGATTTCCGAGTATTCATTCAGACACCTGGATGTAGCCTGAATTTATGTTCCCCCCAGTTCCTCTCCTCCCCTCCCTCCCCCTCCCCCCCCCCCTTAATCCTTGCGGCTTCCTTAGGGGTGTTTGCTTTACAGTAAGCTGGATAGAAGGTGACTAACAAAATCCTAGCGAGGCTGGAACCGCCAAAATTCAGATCACAAGTACTACAAGTTAACCACCTTGATTAGCAGGAGACTGTTTAGCCTGTATACAGACGTTGTATTAGTTTTCTTTTCGTTCTTTTCCAGCGCGGAGCGCGAGAAAGAAAAATAAGTTTCTTCTTCCCCCACCCCTTCCCCCTTGCGCTGGCAGTCAATAAATCTCCCGCGGTTCATATTTTATCACGCGCGCTCGACGGACTTTGAAGAGAAAATAGAGGGTCTGTGAACAGGTTAGAGTCTGTTTGGAGCTTTAGTATCCTCCTTTACTTTTCATCTGAGTAGATGTCAACATATTTTGCTTGCTTTCACAGGAAGACGAAACGACGCGGGATATCCTCAATGAAAAACTTAGCCAGCTAAATAGAAGAGAGCACCACGATCCCCTTCTAGCTCTGGGGCGAGATAACATTTACGAAGAGGATCTGTGGGAGGAACATTTTGAGGAGTGGGAGTCTGGTAAACACTCCTCGTTTGATCACGTGGTCAAGAGTAATGCAGGCCAGCTTTGCGCCGTCGCCGCAATGCGGACAATAAAAATGGCAGAGGCGCACCATGAAAAGTACTTACAGACTTACAAGTCACTACAGAAAACTGGCAAGAACTATAAGAAGGTATGTTGAAAGTCGAGGCTGTCAAAGACTCTGCATAAAAACGCTATAAACCAGTCGTCCAAAAATTTGAACGGAAAAGGATATTTTTGACGGAAGAAGAATGCTTCCTTTCCTTATTTGTCAGTACTTGGTGAATAATAGCAATGCCAGCACGCAAGGCCCGGAACTTTACGTCAGTCGATTCTTGCCTTGGCAGGACGGTGGAGAGAGCGGACGACCCGACTGTGAACTACATCACCCTTTGCTTCATTCGCTGACAAGTAGCAGGCTCAACCACGAAAATCTTCGTGGACTGCTAGTACAGTCGAACCTTCACTAACGGCCACCTCTCTACAACGGCTCCTTTCTTCTATCCCCAAGGTGACCGTTGTGGAGAGGTTCAACCGTAGTCTAATAAGAATCAGCTCCCATTCTGAAAAGGTGCCTCTCAGGGTGATAGGGTGGTAGGGCGTGGTCTCAAATGGGTGTCTCCTTATGGTGTAAAGGATGGCTGAATTTATCTCTTACTTTCCTGGACAAAATGTAAATAATTTTAATAAACCCCAGCGATAGCTTAAGAAAAGGATTTCATTAATGATCACTTGATGATTATTGTGTTTTATTTGAGGTTAAAACTACTCGACTGCGTTTCGTGTGGTGATCTAGATAAATAACCTTCCCTTAATTGAAATGTGTATTTGCCACCTTGTCAAGAAGTGTACAATCGTTTCAAGTTCAGTTCATTCTTTGCGGAACTAAGTTCGAAGGTGATTGCGTTGTTACGCATAGGATCTGGATTGACTACTGTAATTCTTGCAAATTTGTGAAGAGAGGACCTATGTGGATTTGGTTTTATTATCGCTAGATTAATTCAGTGATAGTCCATCGAATTGAGAGTTATTTAATTAAGGTTTTCGAGAGATTATAAGGGTTGACTGTTTTAGTGGAGCGAGAAATTTTTTAGGAGGAGGATTGTATGGCTAGACACTGACTGAAATAACGGCTGCACAGGAGACTAGACTTTGTGTCATGGGGTGTGTTATATCAGTGCTATCGTGATGTAGTTCTACAATACTCAGTGAATTGGGAAACGTTTGTTCCACTAGGTTTCTATATAGTGAGATATTGTTTTCGCCACAGTATTTTAAAGGAGCTGAATTAAGAGCCTTTTTTTTCTCTTTGCAGTTAAAGCAGCAACTGATGGCCAAAGAAACCAAAGTTGTAAAGCAGGAACCGGTCCGACAGCCTGGATCTGATTCTGCCTGGGAAATGCGGGAACTTGAAATGAAGATCGGCGAACTACATCTGCAAATCGACAGCGAACGAAAGCAAAACGAAGATCTACAACGTAAAGTCGAAGAACTTACGACAACAATAGGAAAAGAGCGAAAAAAGTACAAAAAAATAATTGAAACTTTGGCCAACGAGGTTGAAAGGCTTACAAATCTAGTGAAGGCACAAGGAAGGAATGGATATCATTTGAATGGACATAAAATTAACCACGAAAGACAAGACAGTATTAAAATGGGAACGAACAACCATCATATGGATACTTTTCCTTTATCGAAGGAAAATGAGATTAAACAATTCTACATATTGTAAAATATACAAAGAAGTGATACTCCTAGAATCTTGACCTCGGCTTTCCACTGGCGTTTTGTAAAAAGATAATATTTTTGGTGTATTTGCCCTTGTATCATTTGGTGTTTACATCTTTTATAAATCGGATACCTGCGCAAAAAGGCAAAGGCTATTGGAACCATATTTTTACTGGTTTTTGCTGCCCATCATCAGAAACATGTTTGTGCGCAGTGTATTTTACGGAATTAAACGTACGCAGATTTTAATATACCTTCAAAAGACGACTAATCTGAAACAAGTACACGAGAAGTATGCGGAGAGTGTTACAACTTCGATTCTAAAGTTAGGTTTATTTAATTTTTACTAAGAACTTCTAGTGCAGTTGCGTGTTAGTGCAAACTTATCATGATTTGAGCGTTTCACTCACAGTACATTTGGAAAACAGTAAATATGATTTAGATTTAGTTCAGTTTTTAAAATGATTGAAGTAAACAGGATCACGTTCGCCATGAAAGGTACACCAGTCTCTTCATACTGATTTTTGAAACTAGCTTTACATACCCTGCGAGCAGAGGCAGTACATTTTCGCGGTATGAGCTGGCGTGCGAAAAGTAGCTACTTTTCGCACGCCAGCTCATACCGAGAAAATGTAGCCTCTGCTCGCAGGATAAGGTTTACGACACTCCGGCGCTTGAATTCGTTTTTTTGTTGTTGATGGTGACACGTGCGTTGATGACACGTGCGTAGTAGATGGAGCTAACAAATATGTTATCTGTTCGTTACTTTCTCGACAATAAAACTAGAATGTTATGCTAAGGAGTTAAACCTTATAGCAGCCCTCAGTCATAACGAGTCGTTGTTGACCGAAAAAGTGACATTTTGACCCTAATAAAATGGTTTTAAGAGTTGTCATGACTATCCCACCTGTTCGCTCGTTAAAGAAAAAGATCATGAATTTTAAGTCATCCTTTTTAATCCAAACTGAGCGATCAGTTTGCAGTGGTATGCAGCTGTGCTTTTCTAGTACAAACCTCGCTGATTGTTTTTTTCTTTTCCGGACTGAAGCATGATTTACATTAGCAACTCAACAACATATGAAGGGCGGTTATAGAGACGACAAGTGTGGCGTAACGTTACCATGGTAGCAACATTCTGGATCTCAACAATATTTCTTGACGGAGACGGCATTTTGCACCGTCGAAGGATTGAAGAAAAGAATGGGCTAACGTTTTGTTTTCGAGTGCATTCATGCATAGGAAAGTCACACGTCAATTTTTTCATTTTTTCAGCCATATTTGCAGGACCACGGTTTGCTGATATCCAGAAATTTTGCTACCACGGCAACGTGACGTGACGACTTCTTACGGAGTACTTTGACTTCTAACAGGCACAAAATGTGGTGCAGACATCATGACACGGTTTGGGAACCATACCCTTCCAGGCAATAGGCCATTTCCGAGTTCTCCCGGGCCTCTGTTTCGAAACGAGGGTAGGTGCTCAGCCTTTGATATGGAAATCATTTTTCATTCTCGTGCAAATAAAACTCATTTTCACAAGAAAGGTTGTGCACCTAGCCTCATTTTGAAAGTGAGGGTTTCTGGAACTCGGAAGTGGCCTATTGACATATACAAGACGGTCACCTAGAGCTGGTCCCAAAGTCAATTACTCCTTTTAGTTGACTCTCAATAGGACGGACATCGATCGAAAACAGACACGTAGTGCCAGTCCCAAAGGCGTCCGTACTGGAAAGAGTTGACTTTAATACTTTCAATGATAGAATAATTGCGGGCGACAAGAGGAGCCCGCAATCCTAATCTCCAGGTTGCTATTACGCATGCGTCGCATGTATGTTGCCAGCAGTTTGCTTGGACTTCCACTAAGAATTCATGGCATGCACAGAAGGCAATTTGATCACGCATGTTTCGACCTTCTACCCCTCGTAATCTGATCACGCGTGTTTTGACTGTATGTTTTACTTGCAGACATTTGCTCTAGGCAAATGCAAAAATGCAAATGTTTCGAGTTTCTTTTGGTTTAACTCAGGTTTGAAAGTTTACAAGAGCAAATTGATTTTGAGCTACGAAGCAAAAGTCGGTGCTTATTAGATAATCTTCTTGTTAAAAGCTTTTCAATTTGTTGACGGAACTCTTTTTATAAACGTTCGGTTATTTTCTGTCCAAGAAAAAAAATTAACACCCTGTAAGTCAGCTTTTGTGATTCTTATCGAAGTTTAAAAGATAACAACTTTAATTGCAAATTTGTTGCTAAGACAACCAGCGTCATAAATGGCCGGTGCCATTTCTTAAAAAAAAATCGAGTTCTGATTGGCTTAAAAACGCTACGCGGGTGGCAGGTGGGGGGGATTAAAGCAAATAAAAATTCCGGTTGGTTGATATCCTGGATTAGGAATGTCAGTGAATACGCTGTTCTAACGCAATGTTTAGGTATACGTTACAAGAACAAATTGCGGGAGATTTCGTTAAGAATTTTTAATGGAAAGCAGAATTGACGGAGGAGAGAATTTGGTAAACGAAATTATTTCTCATTTGAAAAACAACGAGGTAAGGATAGTAAACGTGATGTTGGCTGGTTAAACACATGAAAAATGTTTGATTTAAAGTGAATTGACACACCAAAAAATTGCAACAGTTACATTTCCCAAAATATAAACATTGTATATAGTAAGTTGAACTGTAAGATATTAATGCAGAAATTTTACCAACCGTTGTTTCCTTTTAAACATGATCGGCCTAAGTAGATGATGTACACTTTGACTTTAAACTTGCCTAATTATTTGCTCAAAGAATCACCTAATAAGTCTAGTATCTTTAATGCTGTATTTTCACGATCTAGTAAATAAGATACTCTTAGGTTATTTAACAAAACTGTTCTGTATTTAAGAAAAAATGGCATGCACCCATCAAACACTTCGAATTTCTACACTAGCTTTATTTTAACAACGATGGTTTAATTGGAGCTAATTGAGAGGACCTGAGCGGCATTTCTAGATAAAGAAAATCCTCTAAATTATTCAATAGAAGAAACACTTATAATTAACCCATTTCAAGTAAGTATTACCACAATAGCATCTAAATCAGAGAAACCCTAATTAAATGGTTTCATTTAACTTTTCTATGAAAAGTTTATCATTCGAATCCTTCCTTCTGATTTTGACTGACAACGAAATGGAAAAATGAAAACTATCCAGACTATCATGCTCCTGCCCGACTTATATTATGCGTCTCTAAACTGCTAAGTTAACTGAATTCTTATAAGGACAGCTCTGACAAACAGAGTTTTTTCTGAGGACACCTCAGACTGGTTGTCATTTCAATACATGTTATGTTGAACTTTCGCTCAGGGACCTTTCTCACAGGCTGGTTCAATTGGAATTAAAATTTAGTTTATTTTTGACTCCAGTTTGTCCAGTAAAGTTAAGCAAAGGTTGGTTGCTCCAATTTAAGTCGAGGCGGATTCGGCTCAACTGACAGACTTAATTTAAGCGCCGCGGGAAATACCAATTTTCTCACAGCAACAACAACAACTTTATTCATTGCCGGCATATTCAAGAGTTAAAACTATTAAAAGTATAATAAAGTGTAACAACTCGATAATGCGACGGTCGAGAAGGGTAACTTGTAACTGCCCTTGGTTTGCTTCACCTTCTATGCCAACTACATTTTATTGTTTTACAACTGGCGATCAGTGTAGTCTTGTTCTGGTCGTGGGAGATCTGGGTACGAGATAATGCCGCGTAAGTAAATTAGGTCGAACGCATTTGGTGCAACACTAAGAGCCGCATAACCATATAACATAATGTGCCATTCTTGCAGGAATTCAAGGCTGGAGGTGCGAAAAGTCCTATAGCATCCCGGTCACCAAGTGGTCAGTCTAGCAGCTCAACATCTCCTAGCCAGCTGCATTCGAGGGAAAAGATTAAAGCTATCTTCATATTTCCTTTGACTGAGAAATACCGATGTCCCGTGTGTAGAGATGTATTACGATATCCCATACAGTTTGACGAGTGTGGACACAGGGTCTGTTCCGCGTGCTTTCCTGAGTTGTGCAGGTAAGCTCACTTTAGTCCTTTTTTATGATGAAGAGAATCAAGAAGGATAAAGGTATGCCAAACAACAGTCTAAGATTTCATCCCTGTCCCTTTTTCCTCTCTTGCAAAAATCAAATAACTTCTAGAAAAGGGTTAATGGGTTTGAGAACAGAATAGAATCCAATAGAATCGAAGGTAATCAAATAGAATAGAATAAAATGAAATGGAATGGAATGGGATTGAATGGAACGGAATGGAATGGAATAGAATACAGTCGACTCTCTCTTAACGGACACCTCTATAAGACGGACACCTCTGTAAAACGGACACTTAGAGTTGGTCCCTGCCTTTCTTTACTCCTTTTATTTGACTCTCCATAAGACGGACACTTGGTGGGTGGTGCCGGTCCCAAAGGTGTCCGTCTTACAGAGAGTTGACTGCAGAATAGAATAGAATAGAATAGAATAGGATGTCCATGCCTGCATTCCTTTGTATTTGCTGAGTCATCTCATACACCTTCTTCTAACGTTTAGGGCGGTTATTTTCATGTTTCACTCAATTATATGGGAGTTCTAATTGTTTGAATTTTGATAAATGTCGTGACACACGTACAGCTCCTTTAATGAATATAGCTTAAGATTCGTAAGCCGGTTACCTGAGTTTTTTTATCACGTTTCAAGGAATTAAGGGATTTACTACTCCTATACCGAACGGAGTTGTATCAAGTTTATCAAAGCTCGACTTAATTGTTTTAATCTTTACAGAGTGGAGCCGCGTTGCCCAATGGACCAGAAGCCGATTAACAAAGATACTGTAAGTATACAAGAGATATTCTACAGACTAAAAGCTAAGCCTTCGACTATCACTGCTATATGACTGAAAAAAAGCATAATCCCAAGTATACTTAAGTCTACGGCGCCTTTTTGACTGGCTGAAAAAAAGCTTGTTGGTGGTTGTACCCCCCCTGGGGGGGGGGACTCCGCATATGAAAGGGGAGGGGATGATCGTCGTCTCGCTTAGGGGTGTAAATTTCGGATTTTGGTCTCACTTAGAGTGTTCTGGGCAAAACGCCATCATATTTAGCAGTGAAGGTCTCGTTTAGGGTTGCACGTGAAAAAATATAAAAATATATATGTTGTCTGTGTTTTAACATGGTCTCTTTTAGGGGTGAAACAAAGCTTGGCCACGCCCAGATCTGCCTCCTTTAGAGGTTTAATTCAAAATTTCCGGCGAGCATCTCCACCCCTTTCATATGCGGAGTCTCCCCCCCGGGGGTTGTACTCAGCGCCTCTTCATTTTAGCTTTCTTCATTCTAAAAGCTAAACAACGGCCAATATAAAGAC